TCCGGATGTACGGGCGACTGTACTGGCATATGCTCTGCTCGGGATAACCCAGCCAAATATATTCTCGAATAGATAACGCATGACTTTTTTCAATGTCTAAGATGTTTACAGAACTTTGAAACATTTTACTCGTCGGCCATTTAATCTTCTTCTGAAATAACATGACCATTCTGTCACGTGAAAACCTTTGAACTCCAAAGCTAAATTCAAACCATACAACAATTGATTCAAATACAGTCTCCTTGTTCATTGGTCGAATGAGGGGCGGTTGGGTAGCCAAGTGGTTAAATCGTTTGCTCGACACGCCGAAGATCCGGGTTCGATTCCCGACATGGGTACAATGTGTGAAGCTCATTTCTGGTGTCCCCCGCCGTGATATTGCTGGAAAAAAGCGGCGTAAAACCATACTCACTCACTCACATTGGTCGAATGCTTCTTGGTATGAAATATTGATGGTGTCTACTAGTTCTTAGTAATGGTATCCGCTTGCTGAGAAACTCGTATGAATTATGCAGAGGACGTGTACAATCATTTAAGTCATGATCAATGTGTTCTTGAAATGATCTTACTCAAATAATGACCCTGTAATTATTTACAGTGCTTGTTTAATGGTTTTAATACTTTGTCTATATGTCATACAGATACGTTCCTGTACAAAGATTGAAAATAGAACGTTAATACACTGTTAACATGTTTGATAATACAGCTTCATGTAAATGCGTTGTCAGCACTAATTTTTCCCAATATCTGTGAAAAGTACCAACGCTGTAGGCGGCTCTCGTATATTCTTTCAGTATAATTCTTAGAATAGCCATGGCAATACCATAAGATTTTACGCGTTTGGTTTCAAATTCAATTTTGCACTGTTACATTTACAGGCACCATGGCTCTGCACTGAAAGCACAAGTATATCTTCTCCTTCGTCCCCTTGATATTCTAGGTAGTGCTTTTTGCTTAATGGGAAAGAATCGGCATACTGTTACTGTTCCCATGTACCTTCATGGCGATATAATGGCGGAATTATCTGTAGCATATGTTCCACCTATCTGTAGCATATATCCTCTCTATCAGTAGCATATGTCCTCTCTATCTGTAGCATATGTCCTCTCTATCTGTAGCATATGTCCTCTCTATCTGTAGCATATATCCTCTCTGTCTGAAGCATATGTCCTCTCTATCTGTAGCATATGTCCTCTCTATCTGTAGCATATATCCTCTCTATCTGTAGCATATGCCCCATCTATCTGTAGCATATATCCTCTCTGTCTGTAGCATATGTCCAACCTATCTGTAGCATATGTCCCAACTATCTGTAGCATATATTCTCTCTATCTGTAGCATATGTCCAACCTATCTGTAGCATATATCCTCTCTATCTGTAGCATATATCCTCTCTGTCTGTAACATATGTCCCACCTATCTGTAGCATATATCCTCTCTTTACCTCTAGCATATGTCCCACCTATCTGTAGCATAAATTCTCTCTATCTGTAGCATATGTCTCACCTATCTGTAGCATATGTCCTCTCTATCTATAGCATATATTCCCTATATCTGTAGCATATATTCCCTCTATCTGTAGAATATGCCCCTTCTATCTGTAGCATATATTCCCTCTATCTGTAGCATATGCCCCACCTATCTGTAGCATATATCCTCTCTATCTGTAGCATATGTCTCACCTATCTGTAGCATATGTCCCACCTATCTGTAGCATATATCCTCTCTATCTGTAGCATATGTCTCACCTATCTGTAGCATATGCCCCACCTATCTGTATCATATGTCTCACCTATCTGTAGCATATATCCTCTCTGTCTGTATTTTATATCCTCTCTATCTGTAGCATATATCTCACCCATCTGTAGCATATGTCCCACCTATCTGTATCATATATCCTCTCTATCTGTAGCATATATCATCTCTATCTGTAGCATATGTCCCACCTATCTGTAGCATATATTCTCTCTATCTGTAGCATATGTCTCACCTATCTGTAGCATATATTCTCTCTATCTGTAGCATATGTCCCACCTATCTGTAGCATATATTCTCTCTATCTGTAGCATATGTCTCACCTATCTGTAGCATATATTATCTCTATCTGTAGCATATGTCTCACCTATCTGTAGCATATGTCTCACCCATCTGTAGCATATGTCCTCTCTTTCTGTAGCATATGTCCCACCTATCTGTAGCATATATTCTCTCTATCTGTAGCATATGTCCCACCTATCTGTAGCATATATTCTCTCTATCTGTAGCATATGTCTCACATATCTGTAGCATATATTCTCTGTATCTGTAGCATATGTCCCACCTATCTGTAGCATATATTCTCTCTATCTGTAGCATATGTCTCACCTATCTGTAACATATGTCTCACCTATCTGTAGCATATGTCTCACCTATCTGTAGCATATATTCTCTCTATCTGTAGCATATGTCTCACCTATCTGTAGCATATGTCTCACCTATCTGTAGCATATATTCTCTCTATCTGTAGCATATGTCTCACCTATCTGGAGCATATGTCTCACCTATCTGTAGCATATGTCTCACCTATCTGGAGCATATGTCTCACCTATCTGTAGCATATATTCTCTCTATCTGTAGCATTTGTCTCACCTATTTGGAGCATATGTCTCACCTATCTGTAGCATATATTCTCTCTATCTGTAGCATTTGTCTCACCTATCTGTAGCATATGTCTCACCTATCTGTAGCATATGTCTCACCTATCTGTAGCATATGTCTCACCTATCTGTAGCATATGTCTCACCTATCTGTAGCATATATTCTCTCTATCTGTAGCATATGTCTCACCTATCTGTAGCATATATTCTATCTAGCTGTAGCATTTGTCTCACCTATCTGTAGCATTTGTCTCACCTATCTGTAGCATATGTCTCACCTATCTGTAGCATATATTCTATCTAGCTGTAGCATTTGTCTCACCTATCTGTAGCATATGTCTCACCTATCTGTAGCATATATTCTCTCTATCTGTAGCATATGCCCCACCTATCTGTAGCATATGTCTCACCTATCTGTAGCATATATTCTCTCTATCTGTAGCATGTGTCTCACCTATCTGTAGCATATGTCTCACCTATCTGTAGCATATATTCTCTCTGTGTGTAGCAAATGCCCCACCTATCGGTAGTATATATCCTCTCTATCTGTAGCATATGTCTCACCTATCTGTAGCATATGCCCCACCTATCTGTAGCATATATCCTCTCTATCTGTAGCATAAGTGGAATTAAACGACACTTTTTCTGTCGTCATTTAGATTCTTCCCCAGTTAAAAGCCACTCCACAGACCCAAGAGATATTACTACAGTCCCTGCTACCTGTACACAATAGTTCGTTGACACATGATATACCGGGCTACAGGAATGTGAAGCCCCGTCGCAAACTCCCTGGATAGTCACAGATTTTCGTATGGAAACCTGGTGTATATCCAAATATTACATCAGCACAATATGGTATTTATGTTTTGCCGATAACATACCCGGAAGTACATGTATGTGTTACATACGTACATTGTTATTGTCATGGTATCCATGGAAACAGTGTTGGAAGAGGAATATTCAGACTAATGTATTTCTCTGCTTTATACATAAAGTAAAGTTATATTAGGAATTTAAACAGATATTCTGTTATGACATTCAAGGATTCGGATTGGTCAATGTGGGGTATCAAATCACAAGCACTTTTTAGCATAATAATATTTGGGTTGTTACAATTGTTGAGGAATAAATAGTCGAGGATGTATGTATGTGTGCCATATTATATACACCGTGCACTAGACTGCTCGGAACACGGGACTTCCTCAATGATAAAAGAGTTGCTTATTACCAACAAAGATAACACAAGTCTTTGAAAGGTATTTAGAATTGATACACATAAGGAAGAGAATTTATGGATGTCAACTTCTTTATTATGAGGTACACATTTCACCTGATGAAGGAGTAAGCATATACTCCGAAACGTTGTGTTAATAATAAACAAGTTGATATCCATAAATTCTCTTCCATAAAAAAACACAGCCTGTTTTCTACTTATAAGATTATTTTCTGAATTACGTGTCACATTTTTTGTCCGCATCCCGAGACTACTAGCGTCATTTAGCAAACACGATGGAGATACATGCATACATGCTTCACAATGCGACACCAAACTACACCAGCTGAGTGTATCGACAATCACGTGCAATGCGCGTTAGTGGCAGTCATATTTGGCTCCTTCACACATTAACATAGAGATACTGAATAATTGGCAACCTGAGTCACCATAGTGTGTGGTACAAGAAAGTTGGCCAAGTATGCTGTGCAGAGTTGCGTCCCTTAGTCATGCAAGGACCCACAGAGCGTTATATTCAATCCCAGAAAAGTAGCTGACAAACCTCAAATGATGTAGGGAGCACGAGTGACCCAGTTGTATATGGCGCCGCATTTCGGGCTTTCCTCCCACATTAAGCTTACATGCCGTGATATAATTGGAATACACTGTACTGTTAAGAGCGACGTTAAACCAAACTCACTCACTCACTCAAAAGATAAAACTGAAATACTGATCAAAGCGGCCTTAAATCCAACACACGCACTCACTCAGCCACTCACTCACTCGTTATAGTACTATAAGTAGACTTCAGTGCCTCTAACAATTTATATTATAGCAAACAATGAAAGTATTGAAAATACCATTTGAAACTCACCTCGAAACCAGTGAATGGACATGTCTCATCGCCCGTTACCACAACGTCATTAACATCATCGACATGTACTTAAAACTGGGGACGGTCGGGTAGCCTAGTGGTTAAAGCGTTCGCTCCTCACGCCAAAGACCTGTGTTCGATTCCCGACATGGGTAAAATGTGTGAAGCCCATTTCTGGTGTCCCCGGCCTTGATATTGCTGGAATATTGCTAAAAGCGGCTTAGAAACTTACTTACTTACTCACTTAAAACTGATGTCAGTTTCCTTCCTTCCACAGCTCTGGAGACGAACAACGTGATGGTGAAGCTGCAGATATTTGAGCTGCTGTCGGCCCTGTGTGTGTATTCGAGGGACGGCTTCGACCTGACGCTGGACGCCCTCGAGAGATACAGGGTATGTAAATCAGTGAAACATACAGCCGATCGATACTATTGAACAAATCGCTTGAATGAACAATCTATTTTGTCAACTAATTATCCATGAACTCCACCCCCAACCCCCCCCCCCCCCCCCCCCACCCCCCACCCACCCCCCAACCCCCCACCCCCCACCCCACACACACACACACCCCACCCCCACCCCCACACCCATTCTGGAAAATAGTAAGTCAGTCGTAACCCTTTTCTCAGCTCATTACAATGATATTCTCAAAGACATACGCATAAATATAAATGTCACTACATTTGGGGTTAGATGGAAACTTTTCAAGATTCTTGTAATGGCAGCTTGATGACTGGGCTCCTGTCTATCTAACCTAAACTGGTTCCATTGTTGGTACGCGACTCAAGCTTACCGCTTTTTGTTTGGGTAGACAGGAGCCCAGTCAAGCAGCGATGACACCAGGAGGGGAGAAAAGGTTCAACGCGCTGGGCCGGAGCTTGAGCTTTTATAATTAAAGGGACATTACTCTAAACCCATTATTCGTAAATCTGGAAATTGCGTTTTCCGGGAAAACCGGGAAAGGTACCTCAAATAATCTGGTCTACTCTGTATCTCAATACGTTATAGGGAAATAAAGAACAAAATGAGTGAATGCTCAATTATTGCTATTTAAAATACACGATGTGGGAACAATACATTACAAACGCAATATAAACTAATAAATAATAATTTTGAGAAGTGTACAGAAAATACGTTTCAGACCCAGTGCCTGAACGTACAGGTGACCACACCGTCCGGCCCGCAGACCCAGGTCTACTGTGGCAGGGTATTGTTCAGTCATTGCTTCAAGACACGCCGAACAATTTAGTTTAACTTTTTATATTTCTCAATATATTTTTTCAAGTCATCCGGCATATTCAGCGAAAAATGTATTTCCCTTTTTTCTGAAACCTTACACCCCTTCCACCCTCCTCAAAAAAGAAGAAAAAAAGAAAAGAATATAATGGACGACCCCCAACCCTGGGGGCTCTAATAAGAGCTTTGATTGTTGGTTATCAGTGGGTTTATCTATTTCTAACATTTATCTCAATCCAAGACATCATACATAACCCTTTCATCTGGTCTGTTTACCCGCGCCACACCCAGGCATGGTTAAATAGTTCCACCAAACTGTAAACTTTCATCACGTAAGATACGCCCGTGTGCCACAAGATTAAATAAATAACAATCCTTCGTTACATCATGTGACACACGTATTGTGAAAAAGACAAGATATAAGAAAAGAATGGCAAATTACGCGGGTGGTGGTCTTTTAAAACTTTATATCTATTTATATCTACTTCTAGTTTATTCCTGGGGTGGTCGGGTAGCCTAGTGGTTAAAGCGTTCGCGCGTCACGCCGAAGACCCGGGTTCGAATCCCGACATGGGTACAATGTGTGAAGCCCATTTCTGGTGTCCCCCGCCTTGATATTGCTGGAATAGTGCTAAAAGCGGCGTAATAGCATACTCACTCACTCTTGTATATCCCTCTACAATCTCAATCCATTCATTTAGCCTGGACACGCAACCGATTATCATTTAATATCCGCTCTTATATAACGCCATGCAACATATGGTATATGCCATGTTATAACATGCATACTGTTATGCCATGTCAATATCGTGTATATTGCAGTGTTATAGCAGGTCAGTAGCATGTATGTCGCTTGTTATAGCAGGTCAATGTCGTGTACATTTCAAGGTTGCGAGGAGGTGAGGTATTATAGAAGGCATGGTGATGTTTACCGGAAACAGGAAGCTACCTGACATTTCCAGTGGTCTCCTGACGTGATGGGTTCTCCGTTTTATTAAATATAATCACCATAGCAAATATCCTGTACTTAGTTTCTAACGTCTGGGTGTTCGCTGTTGTGGTTTGAGAAATTGGAATTTATCATGTGTTAACTACGTAACTGCCTCGAACAAGCCAGCGGAACTGATAGTACATAACGCGTTATAACGGGGATTGTGTACATATCTATAGCAATGTATTTGGAACACACATTTGCTATACTTTCATGCTATTTTTTTCAATAATTAATAAACATATGCTTTTGCAGTAGTCGAAAAAGTAAAGTAGATATTTCTTATGATGATGGAAATATGTTGTCGTTTTTAAGTACTCAGCTGCCGGATGAAGGCAAGTATACGCCCATATTTGCTGGTGGCTGAATAAAACCAAAAAGAAATGGTGACTCGATGGGGATGTATTTCATACGAGCATCCTAGTTATGTTTGAAACCTTTAGTTTGCAGTGACTGTTTTCATCCTAGTAACGTTTTGATAAGTTTTTGGACAAATCCTATTATTAAGTGAATACTTCCTTTTGCACTGCAGTTTATGATTTCGAAATGTGAATTAGGTTTGGCAATGCTTTTTTGTTATTAAAAATTGAAAACTAAAAGTAAGTCAACGATTAAGGGCAGATCAGTTATTGCCACAGATTCGTATAACTGGTTATATTGTATAGGAACGCAATCACTATCAGTCTATTAGGTACCAGTAACCAATATCCTTATAACACTGAGAGTGTGTCAGTTTCACACAGGATGCTAGAGCACGGATAATCCCTCCTGAAAGGGGAGACCATGTTCCACTATCTGGTGTCCAATGTCCTGCCTAGGGTTAGACACTGTATATATTATTAACAATAAGTTGTATACATCATACAAGCAGACCAAGAAACTGTTACTTGAGAGACGCGAATCAATTTGGTAGGGATCGTTATTTACCCAAGCATCGTCCTCCTTCAAGATTCTTAGCTGTTTACATTAGGAAAAGCCTGTATGTCCAGAAGGAGTGAGTGAGCATGTTTTACGGCGCTTTTAGCACTATTCCAGCAATATCACGGCGGGGGACACCAGAAAAAGTCTTCGCACATTGTACCCATGTGGGGAATCAAACCCGGGTCTTCGGCGTGACGAGCTAACGCTCTAACCACTAGGTTACCCCCAGAAGGAAGAGAAATTTATGGATGTCAAATTCTTTATTCATTCACCCGATAAAGGAGTAAGCAAATTCTCCGAAACGTTGTGTTCCTCATAATAAAGAAGTTGACATCCATAATTTATCTTCCTCATGTGTATCACTTCTAAACGCCCTTCAAAGACTATATGTCAAGAGCGTCCACACAACAGTGACATAGATAGTGAACTATGGATAAAACAACGAATAACGGTCCCATGGTCGCCGTATACGTTACTTTGAACCCCGGGTGATTCCGGTTCAGCTGGGTCCTCGCCAGCCTGTGCTGGTCGTAAGAGGCGACTAAGTGGATTGGGTGGGCAGGCTCGGTGACTTGGTTGATTGGGTGTCAATAAACCCTGACGGGGTGGAACGTTGCTCGTAATGTGTATGAGTGGATTGTCTGGTCCAGACTCGACTATTTACAGGCCGCTGTCGTATACCTGGAATAGTGCTGAGTTTGCGACAAACAAACAAATGTACGTATATGTCCATCACGTGACCAGATGCATGTCGGGTGTGTGACTGTGTACTTCAACGTGACTACAGTAGTGCTGTGAATATTTCCGGGAATACAACACACATGCTGAGAATGAAAAAAACATCGTTTGTTTCTGCTTTTATATCAAAATGAATTGTCCATCCGAACTACCACCGGGCAAGGTACATCACTGTCACATTGAAATCTGGTTTACATAAAAACAGAAACAAAGGCCTTTCTGTTATTGCTCTTAAAACGTAAAGTGCAGGTGTGATGTCGCTGCTATTAGTCATGCACACGTCAACTCGACCACTTGCATCCTGTACATCGTGGAGCAATACTCGGATATAACGCGCATATACAAGTTTTTGTTTCCCGACGATTGTCAACACGATCCTACAGAACACTGCACAAACGAACTGGACAATGACGAAATAATGAAAATAGTACTTTTTGTTTGTTTGTTGTTTAACGCCGCACTCACCAATATTCTCAGCTTTATGATGGCAGCCTGTAAATAAATTAAGTAAAACATAACTGTGAACAGCTTTATCCGTATTTGTTGTATCGGACTATTCGTAACACCTGACTATTCGTAATCCCTGACTTTTCGTAAGGCCATATACCCAACATTTCACTTGTGACCATATATTGCTCCTGCATGCGAATTCATTCTTCTGTTTGATGGGCATTAAGGGTCTAAAACAAGGACTGGTCGGCTCGGAGTCAGTATACTGTGTCTGAGTGGGGTATTAATGTTAATATGCGGCGTGGTTTCTCAGTGGGCTAGCACTGTAAAACGGACACGCACGCACGCACGCACTCACGCATGCACATGCACGTCGCTATATAAGTCCAATAATCTTGAACGCGATGTTAAACCCCGTTTTGCCTCACCCCCTTACATCGTAGTAGTTGCTGTAACTTAATCGACTTAGTTAATTCCTTCCATTCTCTGTTATTTAGTAGGTACGGCTTGCCCTGTCGTCTAAGGCGCCGCAACTTGCTGTCCAGAGTTGTGTCCCTTGGGCACGCCAGAATCCCGGTTCGCCCTGATTATGTTTCTGGATTGTCGATTCTATACCGGTGCTCGTGGGTTTCCCCAAAGCGGTAAACGTCTAAGACCTGCAACCCTTCGAACTTTCCTACCACATTTAGCTGACATGCCGTGATAAAACTGGAATACTGTTGAAAGCCTTGTTAAACCAAACTCACTCAGTCTATTATTTAACTTCGGAACAACGTACTATGCGCTGTTAGCGACATCGATAGATCGCAAAACGTCGCCCCATCCTTCTGTCATGTTGTGGTGTTGTTGCTGTTGCAGGCGTGGCAGAAGCTACCGTACCGGTTCAGCCTGCTGGTCAACGAGCTGAAGAGAGCCGACCTAACAAGTTACCGCATCAGCGTCATAGCCCTCATCAACTCCATCATCGTCGCCAACGAGAACATCAGGGACAGAGTCAGGATCAGAAACGACTTTGTCGGTAAGCTGCCATGGTTTACTTACAATGAAACATACAACGTCCAACATACAACGTCCAACATACAACGTCCAACATACACCGTCCAACATACAACGTCCAACATACGACGTCCAACATACGACGTCCAACATACAACGTCCAACATTCAACGTCCAACATACAACGTCCAACATACACCGTCCAACATACAACGTCCAACATACACCGTCCAACATACAACGTCCAACATACACCGTCCAACATACAACGTCCAACATACAACGTCCAACATACAATGAACTGAGTTGGTTTGTAATCCATATTGCTGCGTTATTTGAATGAGTGAGTGACCAAGGGATATACGTCACTGTCAGCAACGTCACAGATCATGGCGGTCTGTGGTCGACAGCATGAGCATGGATAAATGCTTACAGGTCACACATAATTATTTTTATTAGCCATAGAGTTAGAAAGAACGGGTTCATAAACATCGCATGTGGAGTAGTGCAAATATTACTTTCCTCGCGCCATTGTGTTTTTAAATCATCCGGACAGTGCTGTTGACGTCATTCGAAACCTTATTGTAACGTGAGGTCGGAATGACGTCACACTAGAAATGGTGTCATAGCTGAAGATTGTTGACATCATTCAACTAATTGTGTTATTTTGGGACAGCATTGCATATCTCTAAATGTAAGCTCCATATGATTAAGAAATCATGAGTACCAAAGAAATTATCAAACTGATGTTACGAAACGAGTGTCAGGATTCTTGTATTTTCTCGAGCGAGTTCGAGTTTCGTAAAATCAGTATGACACACATGAGAGTGTAATAATTTCTTTGGTATTCATGATTTCTTAATCATATGGAGCTTACATTTAGAGATATGCACTAATCACGACCGCCTTGTTAATAAAAATATTCAGCTATGACGTCATTTCTAGTGTGACGTCATTCCGAACTTACGCCACAATAAGATTCGAACGACGCCAACAAGCCCTTCTGATGACGTAAACAATACGCAAGTGCGCGTGAGGTGATATTAGCACTTACGGTTTTTGTTAACTCGGTTATTTCTAACCCTATGACAGCAGTCTTCAGTGAAGTTTTTCTGTAGGGTTGACATTTCCATACCTTTTTTCATCATTTTTCTCTCTTAAAATGTCAATGAGTAGTATATAGAGTAACCAACTGGAAACTCGGATTTACGGATTATTTGCCCCTAGTGAGTGAAAACTTTAAGTTTCTCGCCACAGGCACAGGATTAACACCATTAATTCACCCGAGACAGATGATCCTAATTCTTTGAGTCTCCTTATTCTCTAGATGCTAAACGGATTCAATACAACGCTAGCAACTCACCGATCGGCTCGTATACTCAGTTGCATGTACGTACCTACCTATACTACCTGTGAAGATCCGGGGTAAAATCATCTTCCCGAGGATAGGGCGTTAACTGACTACAAAAGTGGGAGCTGGACGTTTATAGTCAATTAACGCCCTTGCCTCGGGAAGATGGGGTGGAATAGGTCTTCAGCAACTCATGCTTGTAAAAGACGACTATGCTTGTCGTAAGAGGCGACTAACGGGATCGGGTGGTCAGGCTTGCTGACTTGGTTGATGCATGTCATCGTATCCCAATTGCGTGGATCGATGATGCTCATGATGTCAATCACTGGATTGTCTGGTACTGACCACGGTTATGTACAGACCGCCGTCATATAGCTTGAATATTGCTGAGTGCGGCGTTAAACAACAACAACAACCTACCTAAACACGACATTTCTACGTGCACACTTGCTCTGTTCCGCATGACTAGAGATAACATCTAGGGTATCTCTCTCGTGTATTAATACACCTAATCATGAGACACGCTTAGTACGTGTGATTGTCTCACTACATCTTCCTTGTTTAGAAACCCTCAGCGTCAGTTATCTCATGATAGCCATGGTCACCTCTGACACGGATTACAGGTCGTACTATGACGGTTTCAATATTAGAGAAATCCTAAAGCCATCTTATTTGGATGTTGTTTAAAGTGTTTGAATATCCACCTCAGCCCTCAACATCCTCGACGTCATCAACACCATCCGCGCCGATGAGGACGAGGACCTCCACGTGCAGTGTGACGTGTTTGAGGAGGAGTTGACCGCGGACTCCGAAGCCCTTGAGGAGATGAACAACACCACTGTCGACCTCAGCAAGCACGACGACCTGTTCAAGGCCATCTATAATAAGGTCAGTCCCCTCTCCCCCACCATCCTCCCCCGTACAAACAACAAAACCCCGACAGACAACTTTAACACTGTTTTAGGATCGGTTCATTACCAAATCCATCATACCGCTGAAGCATCCGTTCAATAAGTTCGTCCATCAGTTTCTTTGACTTAAAACCGACTGTATAATAGGCATGTAATACTGAGGATAGTCGATCTGACATGAATAATTCACGATATCTAATGTCGCTGACGCCTTCAAAGACAAGTATAACACTGTGCTTCTCTGTTCAAAGAAGTGGCTTCCACACCATCGCTCTCATAAAACATTCAGGAAAGATTGGTTTTGTGGATAATGCTTACAAACAAAGACAGAAGTTTCAGAAATAAAATTAGCATCTTCGCCTGCTTTCCGGAATTATGTTTATGTATAAGTATAAGTATTTATGTTTTTGGCTCAGATTATGACCATTACTTAACGTACATACAGGACTATGACTGAATGATATTCTACGCCGCTGTCAGCAATAATATAGCTGTCACTGCCACGTGGCAATAATTGAGTCTGGATCAGGAAACACAGCAGACACCCGCGAGGATTTCGGGTTAGAATTGCTCCCTTGGTTGTAAGAGACGACAACATGGATCGGGTGGTCAGGCTCGATGACTTGGCTGATTACATGTCATCGTACCCGGATGTTGTGGACCGATGCTCACAATATCAATCACTGGCTTGTCTGATCCAGACTCGATTATTTACAGGCTGTCGTCATTTAGCTGGACAATTGCTGGATGCGGCGTAAAACAACCAACAAACAAAGCAAACCAGTAGATGATATCATGGGTAACTCTCCACCCTGTACTCTCGTACGTTGAGACACACGAAGGGACCACCCGATCCCCATTTGGTGTCCATCACAACAAGTAAAGGGGCCTAGGAGCCTATTCCGCCCAGGAATGCCCTGAGTCTCTGTTGACGTCGACCGATATGTACATGCCTCTAAATGATTTAAGGATGTCAGTTCAAATGTAATATCCTCAAATTTCAAAGTAATTATTTTCGTAAATTTACTTTTTTTTGGTCACCTATTTATGCAGGTGCAAGACACGCCCCTCGGTGCCTCCCTCCTCGCAATCCTGTACAGCCTATACCAGATAGACCACACATCCGCACAAAGGTATGACCAGAATGATGATGATGATGATGATGATGGCTATGATATGTTATGTGAGCCGTTTGACTGATTTATACATCTTTAATCTTAGACTATCATTTGGAGAGCATACATGTTCCATATGAAAATAGGTGTTTTTCCCGGTTTGCCGGACATGCTGGATGTCCTGAAAACAAAACAAAATTGTTAAGCTCCACCTTTCAGAGAAACAATCCCAGTATCCCCCGAACAAACACGCACGCACGCACGCACGCACGCACGCACGCATGCACGCACACGAACATACAAGAATCGATCGTTCGGTTATATCTGTAAGGTGCCTGTTCTTCTGAAATGCTCAATAGTGTTCGATGTTACATAGATGAGTACCCTATTTGTTATAATAGTTACCGTTTATCTCAGTTGCTGTTGTTTAGTTCCGGATGATTGCCCCAATGTAGTTGTAGACAAGTTATCTCCCGTTGTTGCTCGACAGCGAGGCCACGTGGATCCTTGCGGAGAAGCTGGTTAACCAGGCTGTTGAGAATGCTGTAGAGGCCGAGCGTCTGTTGGCAGGAGGGACGCTCAAGTCCGCAGGCAAGAAATGTGACAGGGAGGTACAGACAGAGGAAGTAATCTCATCAAGAGGCCTCCAGCGGAGAAGTGCAATACTCAGACAACAGCATGTCGACAGCCAGGCCGGACCCCCACCGGCCTCTCCCCCACCTCCTGGGGGAATACCTCCCCCGCCTCCACCTCCTGGAGGAATACCCCCACCACCTCCACCACCACCACCGGGAGGTGCACCCCCACCTCCACCTCCACCCCCACCGCCAGGAGGTGCACCACCCCCTCCACCTCCACCTCCACCACCTGGAGGGGCGCCTCCTCCTCCTCCTCTCCCAGGGGGTGCCCCTCCTCCCCCACCCCCTCCAGGCGGCCCACCTGCACCGCCACCACCCCCGGGGATGCCAGGAGTTCCTCCACCTCTACCCGCGTCAAATGTATCCCGACAGAATCTTGCTCCAATCCCTCAAGTAGACCTCATCAAAACCCCTGAACCGCAGTGCAAGATGAAGACGCTAGCCTGGAACAAGTTGGCTCCAACAAATGTATCAAGTAGGTTCATGTTCTGTTAATGTTTAATGAAGATATTGTTATTAAAATAAGTATAAAATACACATCAAGCATAGCTGAGTTTAAACACGTCATATATAAATATCCGGGCAAAAGAAAGTGTACACCTATGTTTGATGGTGGTTAAATATAAAACAAACACGAAAAGGTTATTTGATACTGGTAACAAGGTTATGTTTTGGACCTTTAGTTAGCAGTATTTCGTTGGTTTTGGTTTGTTGTTTAACGCCGCACTCAGCAATATTCCAGCTATATGACGGTGGTCTGTAAATAATCGAGCCTTGACAAGACAATCCAGTCACTGACATCATGAGCATCGATCCACGCAATTGGGATCGATGACATGCATCAATTAAGTCAGCGAGCCTGACCACCTGATCCCGTTAGTCGCCTCTGACGACAAGCATAGACGCCTTTTACGGCAAGCATGGGTTGCTGAAGACCTATTCTACCCCGGATCTTCACGGGTCTAGCAGTGTTTCGGCGACTGTCTTCATCTGCATTGTGACCTTGAGTTTGACGGATGCTACCAGCTGGGCAGGGCTTGGTGTATCCTGTTTTATTTAATAATGCCTCGTACATTTTGGTTCGATTTTGTGTTGCTTCCGTTCACCTTGTTCTTTTTCATGTGGATGAGATTATTATAAACAATCATGTATAGACCTTTAATGCCCAGGCGTGTTTAAGTAACCTCTGGAACTTACCCATGTTCACAGAGACCAGCATCTGGGGCGATGTGTCCAAGATGAAGGACCAGGTCCCTGTAGAATACAGCAAGCTTGAGGAACTGTTTGCACAGAAGACCTTCACCTCGCAAAACTCGACCTCTGACGTCAAGCCGGAGGACAAGGTCATCATGAGACGGCCGTCCACAAGCACAGAGGTACTTACTTCCAACTGCGTCTTTAGTTGGCTATAATCCTTCAGTTATATTCTGCTGCAAATGTTGTTTGAGTTTGGCGGATATTAAGTACAATGACATTTACCTGTCTGCAGATAACTCTCCTTGATCCTAAAAGAAGTATGAACGTCAACATATTCCTCAAGCAGTTCCGGAAGTCCAACGACGCCATTATTGATCTCATCAAGAAATGTGACGCTCGAGCGTTTGGGTCTGAGAAACTTAAAGGTCTGCTGAAAATATTCCCGTCTCAGGATGAGGTGAGATGATAGTTCAAACCTTGTAGGAGTCATAAACGTTTTGTAACAGAAATGGTCTTAATATCGTTAATGTTAAAGAGTGTTCATTGCTAAGAGTTCATGCCCACCATGGACGCCAATACAGTTGAAACGTACCAATCCTTCTGAAAGCAATGAACATCGATGCCTCACAGTTTGAGAAGTGGGTCGTTTGAAGTACGATCAATGTATTGAATATGTATTTTAAAACATATCTTAATGGGGAAATTGTCATGGATGTGACTTGTATAGTTATTATAGTCACGATTTCAATCGTAAGGTTATGCAGCCAGTAGCTGTACTTCAATGAAACATATGAGTGAAATGGGGTTTAACGTCGCGTCAAAGATTATTGCACTTATATAGCGACGTGCATGTACGTGTGTGTGTGTTTGTGTGGCTGCTTGTACTAGTCCGGACTGATGCCGATTTATAGTGCTAGCTCACTGAGATACCATGAATACCCCATTCAGACACAGTATACTGACTCCGAGGCGACCAGTCCTTGTTTTAGCCCCTTAATGCCGAGCGCCAGACAGGGTAACAAGAAGTACCATCTTTTAACGTCTTTTGGTATGACACGTCCGGGGATCGAACCCCGGACCTTCCGCTCTCCGGGCGGACGCTCTACCACTAGACCACGGAGGCGGTTTGTAAAATGATACTACACTGTATAGTATGAACTTACATGCAATAAATATTTGAATAGGCTTCAGCAACCCAATCTCGTAAAAGCGACTAACGGGATAGGGGTCGGATTCGCTGACTTGGTTCATGCATGTCATCGTATCCCAATTGCGTATATCGATGCTGATGATGTGAATCACAAGATTGTCTGGTCCAGACTCGATTATTTACAGTTTATTTATGTCATATAGCTTGAATATTGCTGAGTGGTGAGTCAAGCATCCAGCAAACAAAACTTTTATACAATAAATTTGAGTTTGAAATTCAAATAACTGTGCTTACCTCTGTGCGCCAGATTGACACGATCCAGCATTTCGAGGGCGACACTACACGTCTTGGCAGTGCTGAGAAGTTCTTCCACCAGCTGGTGCACGTGTCTGACTACAAGGTGCGCGTAGAGGGGATGCTACTCAAGGCGGACTTTAACTCCCACCTGGGCAGCATCAGGCCCAACATCCAGCTTCTCAACTCCATCTGCCGCAGCCTCATCGACAACAAGTCACTCAAGAGCTTCCTTCGTTACGTCCTCCACGCTGGCAACTTCATCAACAATGTAGGTTACCTAAAGAAACAGTTTGCAATTTATGCTACTCAAATGAGTTTTACTGACATGACAAATTACCTATAGTCACATGAAAGAATCGCGAATGCCATGACACAATAACTATAGTCACATGAAAGAATCGCTAAAGCCATGACACAATAACGATAGTCACATGAAAAAATCGCGAATGCCATGACACAATAACTATAGTCACATGAAAGAATCGCGAATGCCATGACACAATAACTATAGTCACATGAAAGAATCGTGAATGGCATGACACAATAACTATAGTCACATGAAAGAATCGCTAAAGCCATGACACAATAACGATAGTCACATGAAAAAATCGCGAATGCCATGACACAATAACTTTAGTCACATGAAAGAATCCCGAATGCCATGACACATGATTGTAGTCACTTGAAAGAATCGTGAATGCCATGACACATTAACTATAGTCACATGAAAAAATCGCGAATGCCATGACACATTAACTATAGTCACATGAAAGAATCGCGAATGCCATGACACATTAACAATAGTCACATGAAAGAACCGCGTGTTCTGTAACTTCTTTTGAGTAGTATATATATTACAATGCAACAAAGTGTTTAGCCTATACCGGCTGCAATATGATAACTTTAATAAATTCTGGTTTTCAGGCAAACACTTGATAGAGATATATTTAGCCATTTAATTAGTGCAAAACAAATATGCCGTGTATGTACCGTGGATATTGTTTATTTATATACATTACCCGTATACTTGTGTGTATGTGAGTGTGTGCATGTGTATGTATGTAGGTATGCCACAATAGGTTGCCACTGAATATGAAAATACACCAACATCTACTTGTAGGTGTATATGGATATATTAACTATCGTGCAAAAGAAAGTATACACCTATATTCGATGGTGGCTAACATGAAACAAACAAGAAATGGTTATTCGATGGTGATGTGGTTGATACTTGTATCATAGTTTGGTTTTGGGCCTTACGTTCCAGGTCTCGACGACTGTTTGCAACATAGTAACGTTTTGATAAGGTTTGGTGAATTCAAATCTTCAAGTGTATTCAAACTTTCTTTTGCCCAAGAGTTTACATATTTGGATCACAATGCCGTGAATGTTGTAACACCCTGAGATTGTATGGGACCCTAACCTATATTGAAAATGAATTTATTTGAAAAAAGACACAAGAAAAAACATGTAGTTTACCAAAGTAGTTTGACACTGAAAGAATAATGGGTTTGGGACTTACGTTGAAATATTATTTTCAATTTTGTGTTGTATTTTTTATACATGTACATTTCGAAAATAGTAAATTAAATATACTTTATTATGTTAACAGAAGAGCAACTCGGGCAACGCCGTTGCCTTCCGCATCAGTTCCCTCAACAAGTTGGTGATGACGAAGTCGCACGTTCCGCGGATGACGTTGCTACATTTCATCGTGGAGGAGGTGGAGCAGAAAAACAAAGACGCGCTAAAGTTTGTGGATGATTTACTTGAGAATCTACAGAAAAGTTCAAGGTAATTACAAAAACCAGAGTGAGTTGGCTTCAACACCGCTTTGAACATTTCAGCTATAGAACCATCTTTCCAAGGCAAGGGAGTTATCTGACTATAGAAGTTCAGTTTCCTAGACTTCGCGAGACAAGGGAGTAAAGTGACTATAGAAGTCCCGTTTCCACTACTTCCCGAGACAAGGGTGTTAAGTGACTATAGAAGTCCAGTTTCCACGTCTTCGCGAGACAAGGGTGTTAAGTGACTATAGAAGTCCAGTTTCCACAACTTCGCGAGAAAAAGGTGTTAAGTGACTATAGAAGTCCAGTTTCCACGTCTTCCCGACGTAAGGGAAGATATAAGTATAGACGTCCAGTGATTTGGGAAGATGTTATGCCAGGTGTCCGCTTCTTGTTTGAGGGAAGTCCAGAATGCACCTTCATCGTAGACGTCTAGCCCTTAACTGAATCCCTTGATAAGGGGTATATTGCTGACAGGCCCTGCTGCTGGAAGCCATTGGTCCTCCGAGGTTACTGAAATTAGAATCAATGGTCAATGTTGGTGGTGAGAGCCCATATTATTTGCTCCACCGTAGGCCTCTTGGAGACATTCTGTGCAAAAGTAAATACATGTATGCGCGAAAAGTCCAAATATTTAAGATTTGATTTGAATGAGAATGACCAAATTGTACAAATAACTTGCAGCGAAGGGGGGACAGAGACTGTAAAAGTCTTTTTCTGCCTATGTTAGTGTACAACCACTTCAATCGCTTCTACATCTTGAATGTATTTTATTCTACTAAAGCTGGTGTTTTGTATTAAAATTATCCAGGTTCAGTCTTACCACCATAAGGTCAGAGTTCAACCAGGTCAAGGTCAATGTTAAGAAGCTACAGAGCCAACTGGAAGATGTGGACGAAGAGATCAAGTCCAAGTTCAAAGCTTTTCTGGAGGTCAGTTATTAAGGTTCAGATATCAGCCTACAATATCTACAATAGGCTATGATAATCACCTTACGTCTTCATTGGATAATGTGTTTAGATACCACTGTCACGGGTATGGTGCTGACAAACCTAGAAACTAAGAGATTCTGGACCAAATAATTCAGTTGAGATCACGAGCATCGATCCAAGGAATTTGGAAATCGATAACATGCAATCAACCAAGCCACCAAGTCTGACCACCCGATCCATTTATTCATCTTGTACGTGCATAGGTTGCCGGGGACTATAATATTCTTACCTGTAATCCCCACCCTTGTATGTCACCCCTGATACTGATATGTATGTCAACTCAATTAACAACAAATGGTTTGGAATGGAAGATACTAACTGTATTATTCATTATAAATCGGTTTTTACATTGTTTTGCGATCTGTACCTGTACCGGTCATGTGCTGTATAGATGTTGTATATAAGTTTATAACGAACTACGGTTATAACTAACTAAAATTAGTGGTCCATTTGAGTTCGCTATAACCGTAGTTTACTGTATATACAGAAGCTCCCCAGCTTGTGTGTTGAAAACGTCACAACGAAGTTAAACATTCTGTTAAAACTAATTTCCCAGTTTAGGACGACATTGGTTGTCGGTCAAACATGTAGTCCCTTTCTTGTTTAGTCTGTGCATTCTGCTGATGAAGAAACAACTAACGAACCCCATTCTTTCCGTGTTGCACAGGAGTCCGATTCGGACCTGGGTGATGTGGAAGAGGGCTTGGAACGCCTCACTAAACTATCAGGGAGGTTGGCCAACCACTTTTGTGAAAACGAAAAGACGTTTCACCTGGACGAATTCCTGGAATCCTTCCGCGAGTTCTGCGACATGGTCAAGCAGACGGAGCAGGTGGGTCACCACGGCTGAATTGTCCTTAAACATGTTACACAGCCTCATCTAACTGGGGATGCTTTAAGGTTTTCTTTCTGAATTGACCGCCTCCATGGTCTTGTGGTAGAGCGTCCGCCCGGAGAGCGGAAGGTCCAGGGTTCGATCCCGGGCCGCGTCATACAAAAAGACGTTAAAAGATTGTACTTGTTGTTACCCTGTCTGGCGCTCGGCATTAAGGGGCTAAAACAAGGACTGGTCGGCTCGGAGTCAGTATACTGTGTCTGAGTGGGGTATTCATGTTCAACTGCGGCATGGTATCTCAGTGAGCTAGCACTATAAATCGGCATCAGTCCGGACTAGTACAAGCAGCCACACACACACATACACGTGCATGCACGTCGCTATATAAGTGCAATAATCTTGGACGCGACGTTAAACCCAATTTCACCTCACCTCACCTCACCTCTTTCTGAATTTGGACATCCCGGGGACATCATGTTGTTTACATCTCCATTATAGCCCTGGGATGGTGTTTTGACTCGTTGACCAGCCTTGTCAAAGGTAAAGGTCATCCTCGAGTATTATAATTTGAGGAAGTTCGTTTTATTCATAACCCAAGAAGGATAATATGTCAATGAAACTTGGAACATGTCAACCTTGGGATGGGGCCGCGATGTGAAAACCTTCTTCGGGGCTGATGTGTTCGCTCATCTCCCAGGGTTCCTGCTCAAATTTTCGATGTACATTAAATATGGCCTCAATGATAGCCCTTTGCCATGATGTACTGCAGTGTTTAAAGAAGCGGCATAAAATCCTTCTCTCTCCCTCACTTCTATGCTTATTTATACAGGAGCTGGAGACGAGGAAGTTGCAGGCAGAGAGGGCGGAGAAGAGGAAGAAGGCTCAGCAGGATCTGGTCGACAGAAGGAGAAGTGGGTTCACGTTGTCCTTCAATAAATTCTTTCTTATTATTTTTTCATTAATCAGAAAATAATCTTCGACTGAATACTATGTACAACTACTTGTCTTGCCTTTGCACGTGTTTGTGACGGGTGCCACAAGTGGGGTTGGATACGCCCACCTGTTCGCAAACCCCTGGTATCATCACTGTTTGATTGTGATTCATAAACACATGCTCATGATGAGGTTGGAATTAACTCTGCTTTTTTCTGAGATTTTTTGTGATAATGGAAATGATTATGTTGCTTGTATTCTCATTATTTCTGCGAAATAAGATCGGCAAGAGAGGCGTCATAGTACAAAGTTATAGCATGTTAAGACACGCAAAATAATACTGGAAGTAGCTCGAGATTGTTCATTGACATAATATCCATTGATTTATACCAGAGAAAATCGGAGAAAAATATCTTTTTTTGAGTCCATGTTTTGTTTCATTTGACCCCATTCGGATTCCAGGGCAGAATAAGTCTGAGTACCCTTTTCATATCATAAGAGTCGACTACAATGGGAAGCGGCTGGTCACAATGTGTGACTGATTGTCATTGTTCATGTTGTCAACCACGTGTTCCGGGCTTAAACTCATATACGCAGAAATATTAACTCATTCACTCCCCGTTGCATTTGTGATAGTCATCCTCATCCATTAGTACATATTCTTCCATTTTTTAAAAAATCTCATTTGACATGACATAAAATCCTGAAAGTCATTTATTCCTTCAACGTTTTATTTTCCTGTTACACGTCAAAATGTACCCATCTTGTTTGTGTTGTTAAAATGTCAAACTTGAATCTTGCAGGTGGTACACGGGATGGTTCAGTGGATGAGAAGAAGAAGATTGTTGACAATCTTGTTAACGAAATCAGACGCGGCAAAGTGCTTAGGAGGTTGTCCCTCAAACGTAAAACCAATATGGCGATCACGGCCATGGAGACAAGCCATTTGTAGCAGAATCTATATCCCCGTCTGTGTGTCTGTTGGGTCACCACGTGACATCTGATTATTACCTTATACGGGAAGACACTACCACGTGCCGGGACCAGACATGAATCTGTCTATTCAAAACAAAAGGGATGTGATCTCGAATGTCTCTATTCGAAAACGACATGGTTCTTGTGAGCTGCAAGTACGACAATCATTTCCGGGTCACGTGTGAACATGATTTCCGTCTGTGTGTCCCTCATCATCGCCATTTTTTCGGCGTGAGCCTTTTTGGATACAACGACGCTACCGATTCTACCAAAAACCTGTAGGTGTGTCTTTCAGCAACCAGCGATAGACACGCGGCCTCTAGTCCGTTAGTCCAAGACTAGTGAAAATCTTCAGGGACTAGTTGATTTCTCCGAAGATCTTTTATGTTACATTTAGTACTAGTCCAAAATGAGCTGGAGACTAGTTGGATTTGAATGTCGACCCCTGGCAAGACGTCGAGGATACGCTTCTGGAAAGAACTCATAAGACAGCCAGATACAAAAGAACGGCCGCGCTCATCGAAAATCTGCTTCTCTTGTGATTATGATAACGTCGATGTCTGTCTTTAAGTGTCCGTTACTTCAATCTGCCCATCGATATTATGTTTACAATGCTTGTTCATCAATGAGTTTCATAATAATAATAATAATATTTTTTAATAATAATAATAATGATTATAATCCATTTATATTGTGCTGCCCTAAATACATAAGCATGGTCTCAGCGCTTATACCTTATAACACTGGTCACTGGATCAGTATACACTCAATATCCATTCTCAGCTCCCCTGGGAGTAATCATAAGATCGCGATTATCATGGACACGCAATATTAATGGTCGTTGACGTCAGATCTTCACATAGGGTACTCAGCATTAATAGAATACAATTGGGGATTGCCGTAGAATGATGGTGTTGATGTCACGTCTCTCTGCCCGCCACACGTGTCAGTATTCAACGTCTTGACCATGACGCGGAATAATAGTGTACTCAAAATAAAGATACAGTTGCTTGGCGATATATCGAACTTGTATTGCCTAATCATAATCTCAAACGATCTATATGAATACCGCATTTCGGATTATACATATTACTAAAGATATGAATAAATTCGCAGGATGGATTCAGGATGGACTTTATAGGGCATACCAATGATGTGAAAAAAATTAGAAATGTGTATGTTATTTGAATATTTCTCAAAATTTCTCTAATTTTATAGATGTACATGAACTTGGGTTCAATAGAAACGCTAAAACCCTAGCGTATGTCAATAAAGCGACGTTAACTTTCCGTGGACCATCCTCGATGTATCTCCATTCTAGCAGGATACATACCCTTGTACCTGGGCTTTGTTAAGCAACAAATGATAAAATATAAATATCACATCTCTTTGCTATAAATGAAATGTTAACATATTTTGAATGATTTATTTTGTTATTTTTAAATGCAATTTAAGAATTTTGGACTATTTTAAAATCTATGAAAATGCTCTCACATAAACATAGCTAACCTGTGTATAAAAAGTTTCTAAGTTCTTGTGTAAGCATGAGTGTCTTCTAGTGATGATAGCCCAAAGACTATGCATGTGTATTAAGACGTCCCGTGTGCATTTGTATGTTTTAGTCGCAAAACCCTTGCAAATATTGTGTTGTCAGAAGAGTATGATATTAACGTAGTTCGTAGCTGTCGTTAGCATTCGTGACCTCTCGTGCCATTCCGGAACAAGCCGAATTGTCTTTGCAGGTTACGGAAAGAGGCGACATGGAACGAATGTAGCGTTTGATGTTTAAAAATATTTACGTATACCAACCAATCAGTGGAATTGTTCTTATGTGCACAAAGTTTCCAAGTGGCTTCCAGTTTATTCTATTTTAAGCTGTTTTTATTTTATGGCTTGTGTAAATATTTGCTGATATGCAACTGTCTCATTCGGAATACATCGGTATTTTCGTCGGCCTGGTGTATATGGTGGTAGCCGATGTTCTGAATGTGTCCGTCTCCGCCAACTGTGATGTATGTGTGGTAATGAGCACGTGATGTTGATGACGTATGCTTGGTAAACTTGTGAATCTCTATTGACTGCAATATGTACAGATTGTGTTATTAAACATTTTATTTCTCTTTAGTTAGTTGTTTGGAAATTACTTTAGGGTTTGTTATCCAGGAATTTAACATAGCTTTGTGAGAAATGAATACTAAATTGATATTCATGGGAGTAGAGAAAGTAATATTTTCCGGAAAGTGTCTCTACACTTTTGACACAATTACATAACTATATAATAGGTGCCGCAATTCGCTGTGAAGACTTGAATCGGCAACCTATCAGGCTTTCACTTTTAAAATTCCATGTGTTTAAACACCTGACTCAGCACTTACTCAGACTTGAATATGTATACAACCATCTCCGTGGTCTGATGGACAGAACGTCTGCTCGGAGAGCGGAAGGTCGGTGGTTCGATACACGACCAAGTCATATAAAAAGGCGTTAAAAGATGGTACTTGTTATAACCCTGCCTGGCGCTCGTCATAAAACAATAGCAGCATAAAAAAGGACAGGTCGGCTCGAAGTCAGTATCCTTGTTCAAGGGGGCGGTCGGGTAGCCAAGTGGTTAAAGTGGTTCGCTCGTCACGCCGAAGACCCGGGTTCGATTCCTGACATTGGTACAATGTGTGAAGTCCATTTCTGGTGTCCCCCGCCGTAATATTGCTGGAATATTGCTAAAAGCGGCGTAAAACCTCACCTCACTTGTTCAAGTACGTATGGACTAGCTCTATAAAACCCGACAAAAGTCCGGACACGTTGAAGCACACACACACACACACACACACACACACATACACACAGACGTGCGTGCACGTGATATAAGTGCAATAATCATGAACGCCACGTCAATCCCATTTCACCTCACCTATTATGTGTACACGTGGAACATCAAGCACCTCAAGCAAAATGTTTCGATATGAAATGGCAATCTTTAAAAATTGCTTCCTGTAATTATTTTATGACGAAACATTTGTTTTGGGTTACAAAGTGACATACGTATATTTAACGTGATACAGAAGCCGAAATAGATTATGCAACGACGTATGTGTAACTATTCCATGGCAATAGGTATTTGACAGCCCGTGTTGTTACTTCCTGGGGCGGTCGGTTAGTGGTTAAAGCGTTCGCTCGTCACGCCGAAGACCCAGGTTCGATTCCCGACATGGGTACAATCTGTGAATCCCATTTCTGGTGTCCTCCGCCTTGATATTGCTGGAATATTTCTAAAAGCGGCGTAAAACCATACTCACTCAGTCACTCGCTCTATTACTTCTTCTACTATTTCGCATCATATGACCTTGCGACCATCTCGAGGACAAACTTGTCATTATCGTGTTATAACCATTTATTACCCATAGTATTAGAAATAACCGAGTTCATAAAAATCGCATACGCACTCGTGCAAATATCACTTTATGCGCACCAGTGTAATGTTTACGTTATCCGACAGTATTGTTGACGGTTTTCGAAATTTATTGTGGTAAGGTAGGAATGACGTCACACTAGAAACGACGCCATAGTTGAAGATTGTAAACAATACACTTGTGGGTTGGGAGTGATATATGCACTAGTGTACATACGATTCTACGGTTATTTTTAACCTTATGGGTAATAAATAGAGCTTATTATACGAACATGTGTGTCATACTGATTTGCGAAACTCGTGTAAGAATTGACAAATTACCCTCGGGAAAGACAAGGATTCTGACACCCGTTTCGTAAAATCACAAGTTGATGTGTGGAAGATACACAAATCGTAGGTCTAAAATGGATTTGTGGGACTGTGCCCTAGGTGTACGTATGGAGCCAGGCTCCACTGTCTGCATGTTTGTTGTGTTGTATGAAGTGACTTTGTGTTGAGAGTGCCCGTATTTGGAATCGGCGCTTCGGCGTGACGACCGAACACTTCAACCACATTGTCAAAGCTACCCCACAGCTCCTGTTATTTTTCTGGTGTCATCGTTGGATTGATCATTGACATACAACGCAGAAGATTACAGTTTTGTTTAAATTACTTTGTTCCGTTCCACAAAGCCGTTTACGGGCAACAACTGTCGTAACATACATTCTGTAGTCAAGGAGTGCAAATACATCTTCCTGCTTTAACATAGACTAAAGATCACCTCAGCGCTAAGATTGGTCTGTGAAACAGTCGAGCACAAAGCGATCTTAGTGCTACGATTGTCGTAAGCCTGTGTTAAAGTATGAGAGGTGCGATCATCTTAGCGCTAAGATCGCTTTGTGGAACGGGGCCCAGGGCCAACTTGCACAAAGCGATCTTAGCGCTCCATGTATTGTAAGGCTATGTTAAAGTACGGGAGTTACGATCATCTTAGCGCTAAGATCGCTTTGTGCAAGTGGGCCCAGGATTCCATAGAAGTGATACTTATGGACTTCGTGGTACAACTCGCTGTTTCTCGATTTAATTTGTTTGTTGTTGACGCCGCATTGTAAATTATCGAGATAAACCAATGATCGATAATGTGTGTTTGTGTGTTTGTTTCAAGCAGCGCTGTGTTCAACGGAATTGTGCCCTGCCTGTTATAATCGAGTCTGGACCAGACAATCCAATGATCGACATCATGATCATCGTTCTACGAATACGGTGACAGGCATCAACCAAGTCAGCGAGCCTGACCACCCGATCCCGTTAGTCGCCTCTTACGACCTGTATGGGTTGCTGGTGCCAGTTGTAACACGGTTCCCCACGGGGCCTGTTTTTCATTTTATGACGGTACAGTGTGCAAACCACCAATCAATAGTGCACAATGTATTTAAGTATGCGTGTTTGCGAAAGTTAGATATGGCGTATCTACCTCCATTTCCATCGACCTTTCAAAGACTTGTTTCTTGTTTACCTGTTTACATATATCGATTCTTCCTTTACATAGTGGTTAAGTGCTTATTAATAGCATTGTCTATAGACGATGTTTAGTGAAGAAAGGTGCGGCGTTAAACAAACTAACAAAGTGAAGAAAGCATCTTTCAAATCCTATTTTGAGGCATATAAATAACACTGGTCACTCGGTGACTTGGTTGGTGCATGTCATCGTATCACTATTGCGTGGATCGATGCTCATGATGTCAATCACTGGACTCGAGACTCTATAAGTTACAGACCGCCGTCATATAGCTGGAATATTGCTGAGTGCGGCGATAAACAAGCAAACAAACTAAATGACACTCGAATGGTGAATGCAGTAGATTTTACGAATGCTTCTCTGCATGTCTGGACACCAGTAATGCTACAGGAGGTTGTTCAAGTGGCCACAGCTGTACTGAAGGCGATTGTTACATTGAAAGTGCACACACAAGTGTATACATTTTCTTGATGTTGCCTTTGTTATTTGGCCATTCTACAACCATGATAAAGTGTAACTTAGGAAAAGCAATACACAGTATTTCCAAATAATGTGTTGGTCAAAAGACCAAAACAGAAATGAGTGAGTGAGTGAGTATGGTTTTACGCCGCTTTTAGCAATATTCCAGCAATATCACGGCGGGGGACACCAGAAATGGGCTTCGCGCATTGTACCCATGTCGGGAATCGAACCCGGGTCTTTGGCGTGACGAGCGAACGCTTTAACCACTAGGGAAAAAAACCCAGAAATGAGCTCACATGACATGACATCGTTGCTGCCAACAATGAAAACAATTCATGGTGAACCCTGAGCACACAACTTCATAAAATATAATATTCATGATACCTAACATTTCTTTTTCATTGTTTTTTTTCATTTTGCAGATTCATATAACTAGTTTGAACTGGGTTTTTTTTGTCAAAAGAGAAAAATATTTTGTTTCATATTATGTTAACTTTACCCCATTAAGAGGTACCATGTCTGGCACAGCTGTATTGTTGGGTCTCATTCAACAAACCTCTTTGGCAATCCTTCAACAATATTCATTTTGTTCCTGCATAAACAAACACAACACGATGTAGCATCAATGGGTTAATTTAATCAGCAATGCAACATTGTGCAGATATCTTCACTGGCAATCACACGATCATCTTGTTACCATGACAACAGTAAATACAAGTCAAGCATAGGTACATTCAGTTTCAGACATATTGAGTACTTAACATGTGTATATGGCACAGAATATACATAATATCATTTACAGAGGTAATATGAAATAAATGTTTCAAAAATGGAATGATTCAAGTGTTTTGCAGAATAGCAACAGTGTGGGAAACCTATTGATAAATATCCATATTCAGGGCTAGTAACCTTGACAGCAAAGGCATAAACATGAATAGCTATTCAGTGTCTGTCTTTTACCTAGGACCAAAAAGAAATGTTGTTTTCTAACATTCGGCAATACATCTATGTAAGCAAAATACTGACCAGATAAAATAAGAGACAAATGTCATTTTTTACTCAAAGCATGATTTTTGTGATAAACCTTCACTTCAGTACATGCAATATGTTGTTTTTCTATGCTGAACAATCAGACTGTTTTCAACCTGTTCAAGAAATTCAAACATTTTTTTGAACGCTTCTTCAAACTATTTCATTCATATCACAGGGTGTGAGAGCTGCAACACCAAACATCATAGCCAAGAAAATGGGGGGTTTGATGTCACAACCAGACAATCGGCACTGCAAAGGGATGCAACTCTGCCGAGCAATCACTGAACCACCCATGCCTCCAGTCTAAAACAGATCGGACTGATTCTTGCGTCCATTTGTTTGAAATTTTTTATCTTTTACTTAAAGTTTGATAATGAATGTTTTTGGTATGAGTATGGAAACAAACTGACCTCAAAAACTAATTTCATAGATTATTTATCTCAGTCAAAGCTGGGAATTTGGAACAATGAATTCATCCAACTTTTTAAATGTGTGGAAGGTAGCAGATGTTAACTAAATAAAGTCAGTCCCAGTGTTCATAACACTGACTTAACACATATACAGTAGACACATCATGCACGCCTACATCAACAAGGCCTTACATTCATTAGTTTAGATTTACGGATCCTACGACTTCAAAAATATATAAATACAGAAAAAAAAAAATCAGAATGACAAGGTGTGTTTATACTGCCAAAAGTAAAGATTACTTTGACAATAAAATTCATCCAGGGAATTATTATAGGACTGAAACAACATTTTTCCAAAATAACTTGACATTTTTTTAAATGACCTGACATTTCCAAATAAAACTTTAAGATGAATAAAAAAAAAGATTCTGGACAATGAATTGTTAAGTTTATTTATTTCCAACCTACAAGACATTTTTTCAAAATCCGTAAACCAAGTGCACAAAAATCTGGCTCATCCCGTTGACATGCATCTCAGCACAAGCCTCAAAGGTACTCCTCCTTGCATATATGCCATCATAGCTTGACATGTTTCACATACACTTGAACATTCAACAGACCATTCAACAGGACACTCAGCAAGACTGTATCACAATTCAGCATGGTCAGTCAAAACACATCGCTAGAAACCCAGGTCTCTTGTCAGTGCATTCGTCACCACTCGCCCCTTTCCGTAACCTGCAAGAAGATATTCGGCTTGTCCCGGAATAACACGAGTTGGTCACGAATGCTTGTCAGTGCTGGTTCGTGCTCATACATGGCCCGACTTACACCGATATACAACCCACACGTGGACAACACCTATTGTATAAATCCATCTTCCGTCAAAAGTCGATGAAATAATCATATATAGTGCTTGCCTAATACTGTATCTATTTTGGGGGTTGAACAAAGATTTTTCAGCCATGAAGATACTAAAAATATCACAGATACAAAAAAGAAGTCCTTTTTCAAGGCCTTGCTTAGTTACAAATAGCCAAAGTAGTTTGTAAAATGAAAATCACAATATATTTCATTTTTAGCTGTAAAATAATATGTTCGTGACCCAACACGATTCTATTTCCAGTGACCCTCCCCAATAATCCAGTCACATGACCTGTCCATCCTGATAAATGAGAAATCTGTTGTGGTTAAATTTGACTCACTTTTTCATGGTCATCCCCTAAGTTGGTAATTTTATGACTATTTTCCAGTGTTGTGATTGTGCCAAAACTTGACCACATTGCTACGACCACTGTATCAAAAATGAATAACTAAATTGGACTCAATTGATTCGCAAAACCTCCCCCAATTTCCATATCTATTAACTGAATCCTCCCTCTGAGCAAGTCATAATTGTCAGCCCCCCACCCCCCTATCATGCTCATGCCTCCCCCCTATAATAAATGAATGGTCCCTTTAATGAGTGACATGTGGGACTCATTATCTCACACTAGACTATACTTAAGAAGTACCAGATCCTAGATTGCTGTCTAGATCTGCTTGGCTTAAATACGGTCAACAGAGTCTACAATGGTGGGCTGAATCACAGGCACTTGGCACAAATACATGTGTATCAATTACTAAAATACTTTAGGAGCAATTTGAATGTACAAATGTTAGTGCTAGTGCTTGGAAAGTGTGTTTCCTGCATGGGCTGATGGAAGCAAACATACTGTTGTCTTTGGTAATTTGTATATTTCTAAACTCAAAATTAACTACAGTATAAGATAACACTTGCAGAAAAAAATCTGATCTTTTTCATTATAAATAGATATAGACTGTTCTGTTCCCATTCCAGCATTGTGTCATTACTCACTGAAGCACTAGTAAAATGCCAATACTTACCGAATTAGATAGTTTATGAAGAGTTTGTTTGTGTGTTTATTTGTTGTTTTACGTCGCACTCAGCAATATTCCAGCCATATGACGGAGATCTGTAAATAATCAAGTTTGGACCAGACAAACAGTGATTGACATCATGAGCATCGATCCATGCAATTGGGATACGATGTCATGCATCAACCAAGTCAGCGAGCCGGACCACGTTAGTCGCCTCTTGTGACGAGCATACACAGCACAATAAAGAAACTTGTGAATCTGGTAACCTGTCTGCATTAGTGTATCACTGATGAGATATGCTTTCTGATGACTTCATAATTTTGAAAACAACAACATTCACCCTATACAAGAACTGAAGAAGGTATGTCCCATATTCTGTGTGATGAAAGCCTTCATACAACTATCAGGCAGATGTGATGAAATCTGTATGGTAGCACTGGCTAATTCATAACAAGAATGAACCATTTATTATGAATGTGGCCTTCCAAGCAACCTCCTCAATACACACTTGTATTTAGCATGGCTTTCGGAAGCATATCTAATAAAGTTGTTAAACTCGTGACAGGTCTTCAATTAAGAGTTATCTCCCTTGTTCCATCCTGCCATTGCATCATACATTGAGGCTGACAGGCGTCAGAAGTGATATGATCTGTGGGTGTTTTCTGTTCTGACATAAGAAACTGGCAAAACTACAAATCGACACTGAAACATTTTTGTGTTCTTTTTTCATTTTTGTCCGCATAGCTTTGTCGTTACAACATCGTTCATCAGAATCACTGGTAGCCTTAGGTATTGCGAAAGCACTGACAGGATTTCTCAACACATCCACACTTGTTGACAACAATGCATGTATACAATGTACAACAATGCATTTATACAATGTACACTAACATTTGTATACAGTGTAGAACAATGCTTGTATACAATGTACATCAATGCTTGCATACAAAGTATAACAATTTTTTCATACAATGTACATCAATGCTTGCATACAATGTACAACAATGCATTATACAATGTACATTAATGTTGGTATACAATGTACAACAATGCATTTATACAATGTACATTAATGTTTGTATACAATGTACAACAGTGCATTTATACAATGTACAACAATGCTTGTATACAAGGTATAACAACATATTAATACAATGTATGTTAATACTTGTATACAATGTACATCAATGCATTTATATAATGTACAACAATGCATTTATACCATATACAACAATGCATTTATACAATGTACAACAATGCATTCTATACAATGTACAACACCACTAGTATGCAATGGATAACAATGTATTTATACAATGTACATCAATGAATTAATGTATGCAATGTACAACGATGCATGTACACAAAGTACAATAAAGGAGTACACTAATATCATTATTTGCTGCAGATGAGAAGGAATTGCATCACACATTTGGCATCAGGCTGCAACAGTTCAAGAAGTACCCATTAAACTTTAGCCTTGTGAAATACACTGACACTGGCACTTACGCTGAATGTAGCTGAGCTGAATTAGAAAATGCTCATCATGGGGCCTTATTGGTATCAAATAGGGCCCTGATGATGTGCAAATGTACAAAGAGTAGTTTGAAGAAATGTCAAATTTCAAGATACATTTTTTTTTAATTTCCAAGGTTTTGCTGTAACAAGAAAAGCTATTTTGAAACATATTGAAACTTGAAGTTTCATCTTGACCCCATACCAACGATCGATCTAAGTGCTGCTAGTGTTTAAGTCTATGAATGGATCATATTGGAACAACAATTGTTTCGTGGAACAGCATCCACGGCCCAGTTTCACAAAGCCATATTGTCTTGCAGGGTTCCTGAAGAGATTTTACAGTGTTCCCGGAGATACTGTCTGGTACTGTCCTGGAGATACTGTCCCGGTACACTGTCATAAGATCCACCATCATCCGAGCACGAAGATCGCTGTGTGGAACTGGGGTCTGATTGAATGATTTGGTCCCAGTCACTGATACTATGAGGTCAAAGTAGGATTTCTGCAGTTGCAGAATTGAGATCCAAATTTCCAGCACTAGAAGTATTTGTCTTGATGCTAGTTAACCTGACATATTCACAAAGGTAAGATCAGTCTTTATGAAGAATATTATGTCATATCATATCATTGTCCAATTGGTATGAAGTCTGTATGCCCACAAGGCAATTGTAGCTCACACAGCTTTTAGATTACAAACAAAAGAATACAGGTTCATGAAGAGGTGGGGTGTTGCTGGAGATCATGTTTCCAGAGTGCTCTTGCAGGGTTCCCGAAGAGATCTTGCAGTGTTCCCGAAGATACCCTTAATTGTTCATGAAAAGATTCTGCAGAGTGCCTGGAGTGTTCCTGGGGAGATCCTAAGTGTTTCCTATTAGATCTGTTATATTCCCATAGTGATCCTACAGTGTTCCTGGGGAGATCTGCATTGTTCCCAAAGAGATCCTACAGTCATCCCTGGGAGACCCTTCAGTGTTCCAAAAGAGATCCTACAGTATTCCCAAAGAGATCCCACAGTGTTCCCAAAGAGATCCTTAAGTGTTCCCAAAGAGATCCTAAAGTGGTTCCTAGTAAATCTACGAGTCAAGAGAGAGAGGCTGCAGTGTCCCCAGAAAGATGCTAATACATGCTGGATCTGGTGGCTCCAGTCATCCAGGAATCTCTGGGACAGATGAGATAACCATCAGGTTCTGATGATGAGAACCTTGATGCACAACCACCACATAACAGGAGACCTGTGCCCTTGATCCTCAGAGCAACCTCAGGGCTATGACTATCTCATGTCTAGAATAAGTGTAGCTTGGTGACATCAAGACCCTCCAACAGTGCCTCAAGAGTAGGAAGATATGAATCATGTGGGATTACATTCTCATCCCAGTCTTGGCAAATAATGCATCATACAAGTCTATCAGTACACATGAAACAATATGTGGTGTTGGCAGCAGATTGGTCTTTATATGAAGCTTCTTCTGTGGTTTCATCACAACTCAAGTCTACAAGTCACCATATGCAGACTCACAGACCAGTCCTTCCAAACACTTCCATTCCTAAGCACATCCTCCAAGAACAATTCCTGTCACATCATCAAGTTCCAAAAGGTATCACATTGTTATAATGGTCATCCTTAGGTTACCACACAGATGCCAATTCAAACTGAGATACTGTTGTCAAGAACAGACTTGGTCATCTCTACTGTAAAAGGTCATCCGGCATCCTAAGGCTGTACCCAGATACACTTGCTACTGATATGATTACATATCTTGATAATAAGGCCATGATACATCCATGAAAACTTGACACTTGACATGGCTGCATTCCATCACAAGAAGAACTAGAGACTCAAACAAAACCTATTTAGTGAACCTGAGTCAATTAAACAATAGCATGATTACTCGTATATGTACTGCTGAAAAAGTATTTCTCAATTCCTGTTCTTACCATGTAGAATCACCTTGATTTGCTATGGATCTGACAGTTCATTCATACCATCGTACCAATTTCACTATCGATCTCACAGTACAGTCATAACAACTTACCAAATTTTGTGATGTGGAGAAAATTTGACCTTTAACTACAACCCTAGTGTGCATAAAGATGGCCTCATTTCTAGTAGTCCTTTCTGATTCCTATGATACCAGTTAGTTCCCAAGGCCCATATATTCACAAGAAAATCATTCTTTCCATAGAAAACATCCACACCATCTCCTGTGACAATCGTTTACAACATGAACAGCAACGAGACTTGGTAAGCTGGTTTCTGTCATCTGGCAGATCATACTGGATAGCCTTGCAGGTTTACACATATATCCTGCAATCTGGCACTGCACATTGGACATCAGGCATCAGCACTGCAGCTCAGTCATGATCTACAGTAGTCTGATACTTAACCAGGTCTGTAGGTTCAGTCACCTAACAGTCTGGCACAGCATGCTGGAAATCGTGTAGACCTTGATATATCTTCGGAGTCTGGTTCTGAACCAGGTCTGTAGGCTCAGTCACCTAACACAGTCTGGCACAGCATGGTGGAAAGCTTGTAGACCTTGACATATCTAGTGAGTCTGTTGGTGAATGTGATAGGCTAGAGCATCCCTACTGTTCTGTCAGATCTATGGTAGTCTGGCCTGGACCAGGTCTTGTTGGCCAGGGTCCTACTGGAGGTACTTGTACAGCTTGATGCAATGGTTGCCCGAGTCTGCAACAACAACCTGCCCATCGCTGGTGATGTCAAGACCCTGGGGACCGTACAGCGGGTCAGCTGAGGTGTTCACATAGGACAGGAAGGAGCCACAGCTGTCAAATACCTGAAATTAAATAATTATGATGATTGTTAATTACCATAGGGGAGTTCAACTTTGTTAACCTCAAATCCTCGACAATCATTGAGTGAGTTTGGTGTAACACCAGTCTGAATAGTATTTTAGGCATATCATCAGTTTGATGTAGCAGGAAAGCCCCAAGAGATGCATCTCATTTTGGTGAAACCCATGAGTGAGTGAGTGAGTGAGTGAGTGTGAGTGAGGTCCTTAACACATTATCAGGGTGAAGCTGTTTCCTGGAACGCCCAAGGGACATAACTGTGCACAAGTAACAGCAGTGCCATAGGAGACTGCATGGACCACCCATGACCCCTAGTATATATCAACCTATCATGGCTATCCATAACTAGAAACATAGGGAAACTAGACCATGTTGTCATGAAGGATAATGACAGCACCAAGTATCTAAATTGATACACATTAATAGAGTTTGATTTTGTATTTTCGTACCTAGTTAACAAAGGTCTAATCTTGTGTGTTTCATTTGCCATTGAAATAGCCAATGACAATAGTTCCAATGTTACCAAATGAAATGCAATTTCCACATGAACTATTGCAAGTCATCATTTTTATTTAAGATATTACTTATGTTCAAGTGATGTTTTTTATTGAAACAAGGCGCAGAGATTGATGATTTCCCCAGATGGTACAATGTGTGAAGCCATTGGTTGTGTCCCCTGCTATCACATTGTACTGGGTGCCGAATCATCTAAGGCGCCGCAATTCGCTGAGTAGAGTTGCAACACTTGGGCATGCCATAGGGGTTCGAATCTTGGTTCGCTCTGATTGTTTTTCTGGGCTTCTCAGCACCATACCTGTGCTCATCTGAGACCTGCATAACCTCAGGATTTCCTCCCACATTAAGCTGACACACCGATATAACTGGAATACCATTCAAAGCGGCGTTAAACCAAACTCACTCACTAACTGATATTGCACAAAGAAGCATACAATCTGACACATACTGAGTCAAGGCGACCATAGAACCCTTACACGATCAGTGGATGATTATTTCCTGTCAACACCTCATGATCAAGAGGACCCTTACAACAAGAGCTCTAGGCATTTTTGATGGTCCTAGGATCCATCCACAGTGATTTAAGAGCTAAGATAATCGTTGTTTGTATGCTTGTTGTTTAATGCTACAAAGAGTAATATTTTCTCTAAATCAAGAGGACCCTTTTGTTAAGTGCTGAAGGCATTTTTGATGGTCCTAGGACCCATCACCAGTGATTTAAGAGCTAAGACAATCGTTGTTTGTGTGCTTGTTGTTTAATGCCACATTCAGCAATATTTCAGCTGTGAATAGAAGGAAACAGTTGTTCATGGTTGGGTTTGGTATAGCTCGTCCAAATACACTCGATTAATATGGAAGTGCTCACCCGTTGCACATGTTCTTTTTTTGGTAAATCTCGTGCGTGTCATGCTGATGTGACAGACCACTACGTTGAACGGAGTAACATTTTAGAGTTGACATTTTTTCGTTGTGGGACAAAGACGTCCTTAGAACTCCAGTCAGGAGATTGCATTTTCTAATGTTAGCATGAACTTCCATTGTCGGGAAGTTGAAACCACTTTGTGATAGAGAGTGGTCAATTATTCACTTTCGTTGGGTACCACAAAAACATGTCATTTTGGGGGGATTTGGTCAGTGTGGCAAGGAAGGTTTGTGTTTCTGTCTTTAGTCTAATTAAAATGTCCGACATGATATATTTGACTTGTTGTTTACTTAACGGGGAATAAAAGTGCATCATTCCCAAGCTGTGTGAAGGCAGAATGTAAATAATAGTGTGTTAATATTATGAGCAACATCTCACATAATTGGGTGCAATAACATGCAATCAACCAATGTCACCAAACCTGGCCACCTGATCAATTAAGTCGCTTCATATGTGAAGCATAGGATGCTGGGGACAAACTCTAACCTGGAATCTCCATGCAGTAACCACAATACTTTAACAGAGATTTGACAATCATAGCACTAGCATAGCTTATGTTTTTTGGTTGTTTGTTTAACGCCCCACTCACCAATATTGCAGCTGTATGATGGCAGCCTTTAAATAATCTAGCAGACAATCCAGTGATTAATATTGTGAGCTACGATCAACATCATCGGGGTCGATGAAATGCTATCAACCAAGTCATCAAGTCTGACTACCCAAACAAAATTACTCTTACCACTAGCATAAGTAGCTAGCGACCTATTTTAAGCCAGAATCTCCACGGGGAAAGATTGCTTTAAAGGAATGTTGATAAACATAATTGATCAAATGGGGCAATAAGTCTAATCCTCTCACCGGTCACGACAGAAGTATGTACTCAGTGTCAGAAATATTGTTGGACAATCGTCTTGATAAAGCTGACGTAACAACAGCACTTTATCATAGGTGCCACGGCCTTCCATACACAAGGCACAAGGCACTCTCAGACTATATGGACATTTGTCAACATCAGTAAGGAGACTTGTCTTGTCAAACAGATTCACTTCAGGTTTGATTGAGGCCTTGAAAATCTTCAACACTTGGAGTTCAGAAACAGTTAGAAATGTCTACTTGAAAGCGTAGTCAACATTGGGACAAGTGGAATACTGTCAGTGTGCATTTGTTTGATAACAGATACCAAAGAATGTGATATCCCTTGGAGCATAATATTTCTGATTTACGATATGGTTCCTTGGTGTTAGACTGATATGGTGGAGTGCAATACAGACTGAAGTCTCAGTAGAGGCCTCTTGATGCTGCTTCTAACCAAATACTGTAAACAAGACAAAAGCTTTTGAAATGTATGTGGTCGCACTATTCAAGTGGGTGAGTGAGGAGTATTTGCTGAGTCATTACAATGGAGGACACATCAGGGATCTTCCCCCACTGTAGAGAACTTAACATCAGTTGTCCAACAACAGTACTTCCCCAAATCCCTAGGATTGTGTCTAACCATTCTACCACATGTAAAACAATGTGACACCGATTACTTCATCTTTGCCCTGGGCCCGTTCCCACAAAGCCATCTTAGCCCTAAGACAACCTTAACTCCAATGCTGTAACACTTATGGGAGTCGTAGCACTAAGATCACTTTGTGGAACAGGTCCCAGGTCAATGTTTTCTGCATTTTCTAGACACTATGCAAAGTGCAAATTGCAAATATGAAAATAAAAATGTTTAAAAGATTTTCAGTCAAAAGTCAATTTTAAAATGATTGAATTAGGATGCTATTTTGAATGTTCTTGAAAACAAAGTTAAAAAAAGAGTGAGTGAGTGAGTGAGTATGGTTTTAAGCTGCTTTTAGCAATATTCCAGCAATATCACGGCGGGGGACACCAGAAATGGGCTTCACACATTGTACCTATGTCAGGAATCTAACCCGGGTCTTCGGCGTGACGAGCGAACGCTTTAACCACTAGGCTACCCGACTGCCCCAGTTAACAAAAAAAAAAAAAAAAAAAAGAAATGAGGTAAGAAGTATGAAAATGCATTAAATTAAATTTCAAAATAGTTTGTAAAGGCTCATCCATTAATGGAACCAACAACTTGTTGCGGCCCATCTGACAGCTTCCACCGTACCTGTATTCTAGAGTTGCCCCAGTCAGCCACGAGGATGTTCCCATTACTATCTACAGCTACGCCGGTGGGGGCATTGAACTGACCGTTGCCCTCCCCATTGGAACCGAAACTGAACAGGAAGGATCCTTCAGAATCAAACACTTTGATGCAGTGGTTGTGGAAGTCGGAGATGATGATGTCATTGTTGTTGTTGACAGCGACGTAATGGGGACCGGCAAACTGACACTCATCATTTCCTCGAGATCCAAACTTGTGCAGCAGCTTCCCATTGGATTGAAAGACAAACACAGTGCTGGCTTTATTGTCCACAACAATGATGTGACCGTTATTGTCTACAGCAAGACCCTTTGGTCCTAACAACTTGCCAGTACCCAGCTTGTTGATGTACTTGCCGTCCGGGGTGAAGACACTCACCCATTTGTTATCATAGTCAGCAACCAGATAGTTCCCATTCTTGGTCAGAGCCAGACCAGTTGGCCTCTGCATCTTGCCCGCCACTCTACCAGGGGACCCATACCGCAGCTGGCACTCCCCTTTGTTGGAGAATACCTGCACAACCTGATTGTTGCTATCAGCAACCAGAATCTTTCCTTCAGCACAGCACACTCCCTGAGGATTTGTAAACTCGCCTTTGTTTCGACCTTTTGATCCGACCTTGAAAAGAAGGTCATCTTCAATTAGGTTGCTACGGCGATTGGACCCATGTGATCTTGAACTTGATGGCCGCTTTGTTCCTTTTTGTTTCACAACACTAGTCCTAGGGATCTTTGAGGAGCTCCCAAGCTGGTCCGACTCCTCACTCCCTTGGGCACAACGTATCTTGAAAGGAGATCCCTTCACATGCTGGTTAAACAGCATAATATCTAGAGTATAATGTCCTTCTCTCTTGATGGTAAAAGTCAAATCATATGTTCCATTTCTGTGATCTGTAATGGTCGGCACCATCTTATCCTGTGTATCAACACAAGTGATCTCAACAAGAACCTTGGCAAATCCAATAGTGATCAGGTCACCCTTCCTATCCTTAGTTGTAACTGTGATGACAGTAGGCCTACCGACATAACACTGCTTCAACCCTTCACCTGATGCTGTTGTTTCAAAGGCTATTGCACTGTTTGTCTGGATAGCACCAAGGTTAGAAAAGGTCTTCCCAACAGCATGGAAACAGCTTTCATCGAAAGACAGGAACTCGTTTTCCTCAGGCTGGAACTGAACCTGAAGGTTGGCCAGTTCCTGGAGCTTCTCACACATCTCTTTCTTCACCAGAAGGATCTCCGTCTCGTTCCCGTTCTCCAGAGTCTCCTCTGTGAAATCACAGCAGTTGCTAATCCGAGTCAAGATGCTCTCCACCGTCTCCCGCTGCTCCAAGAGGGTCTGCTGCTTGGTGCTGTACACGTTCCCGAGCTGCAGAAGCAGGGATGACTTCCGTTCATTCAACAGACGAGACAGCTCATCAAACGCTAAAGTTATCCGATCCTCTGTCTGCCGGGACTTGCTCTCCAGAGCTTCGGAGACTTCTGTGACTAAGTTTATGGAATGTTCAATCTTGGGGATTTGTGAACGAGCTTGACAGATCAACGACTGAAGACCGTTCTTGTGGTCCTGGATAGCCTCATGTAATGAGATGTGCTTGTGGCCAATGTGTTCGACGCGCGTGCAATCCTCGCACACGGCAGTTTCACACTCGATGCAGTAGTAAGGTAAAGCGTTCCCATCATGATTTGGACAGACCAACTGAGGTTCATCACTGTCTGCTGGGCCCGACAGTTCGTCCAGACTGACAACCGTGTGGTTCATTTCCGACTCCATACCACAATGACAAAGGACACAGTTCTCACACAAATATTCTTCACAATCTAAACACTTGGAAACAGGCCTAGCATTTGCTTCCCCACATGTCATACATACGTTGGGCATGCCCACTACATCCATGAGGTTGGTGATGAAGAAGTTGGTCTGAAGTGCAATGACCCCATCGAGAGGGAGAATGGACTGTTGGCGACATATTGGACAAGTCAAGGAAAGGCTCTCGGGGGGAATGTAATCATTGAGACACTTTTCGCAGAATGTATGCAAACACGGAAGGACCTTAGGATTTTTATATCTCTCGAGACAGATTCCACAACTTAGCAGTTCTCGGTCGATCTGACGCACAACAGGCATGCTGACAGGCCGCATTGCAGACAGGTTGTCGGCCATGATGGAGACAGGGTCAGGCAGGTCTGCCTGCAACAGAGAATAAAGACATTTAGCATGACAGAAATCGTAACATCAACAAGGGATTGAAGCTTCAGGACTGTAATTTCAAAGGGTTGAAAGGCTGGAAGAATCACATCAATAATGGATTCCAGCTTCATGACTGATGATTAAAAGGGTTGAACAGCGCATACACGTCACCACAACCAGGACATTCTTGGGATAGAGACATAAAAAATATACACACTCTGGTATGGCAGTTGGTATCGTGGCAAAAACAGCCTTTGAAAGTACAAAGAAGTCCTCTAGAGAAACACAGTACTTGAAGATAACACAAACTGAATTGATGATACTTTGTCTTTTCGGGACAATGTTATAAATTTCTATGTCAAATAAAGCAGGACTTAAATGTCCACCTTGTCCTGGTCCAGGCCAGAACAACCGACAAGGTGATATCACAATGGGTCATGTTGTCGCCCACAACAGATGAAACCTTGTCAACCTCCACGGTTCTGTTCCTTTTGATGTCATCATACCTTCCAGACTATCAAATTTCCAGAGGAATGTTTGTCTGTTTATGGTTTAACAATGCACTCAGCAATATTCCAGCTGTATGACCGCGGTCTGTAAATAATCGAGTCTGGACCGGACAATCCAGTGATTGACATCATGAGACTCAATCCACGCAATTGGGATACCACGACATGCATCAACCAAGTCAGCAAGCCTGACCACCAGATCCCCTTAGTCGCCTCTCACAACAAGCATAGTCGACTTTTATGACAAGCATGGATTGCTGAAGACCTATTGTACCCCGGATCTTCACAGGCCTCCAGAGGAATGGATCACTCAAAGTCCATGTTGAGTTTTTCTAACTGTTTCCAACAGTGATTGCCCGGAAAGAGGGATTTTCAGAAAATTGAATTCTCAAAAGTCTTCAGGACTTCAAGTTAACAAGGTTTCACTCAATACTGTAGCACCGGTCTTATTATTAAACAAACAGAGGCACCTGAAAAGATGACTATGGATATAATGAATTAATTATTCTATTTTCACCCCAACCTGGCTCACTACCAAACACTCCTCCTTAGTGTTACCCATGAAGACCCGGGGTAGCATAGGTCTTCAGCAACCCAGGTTTGCCGTAAAAGGTGACTATGCTTGTTGTAAGAGGCGACTAACGGGATCGGCTGGTCAGGCTTGCTGACTTGGTTGATCATCGTGTCCCAATTGCGTTGATCAATGCTCATGATGCAAATCACATGATTGTCTGGTCCAGACTTGATTATTTACAGACCGCCGTCGTATAGCTGTAATATTGCTCAGTGCAGCATTAAACAACAAACAAACAAATCAGCAATGTATTGTCCCGAAGTACCTAAAAGCTAAGTGTGTTGCCTTCTTTCTCTATACACGAAAGGTCCTACCAAACGTCCATACTCTTGGTGAATCACATCCCACAACACTTAATTTCCGGAGATATCTTGAGGATTGTTTAAACAAAAAAAATAAAATAAATAAAATGCCTCCCGCCTCAAAGATGACCACTGAATATCCAACTTATTGAGTCCTAATGGGCTAGTTGCTCCATCCCACACTTCTAATGTCCGGTTCTCCCCCGGTATCCCTAGACTCATTTCCCCCCAACAAACTGTAACCATGTACCCATGTAGCCATTAACTTTCTCCACAACAAAGTAGATAGAGGACCTCTCAATTGATCATCACTTATTCTGACAACAAGTCTTAAGATCGGCCTCGAAGCGTAATCTCCGGACAACCAAGATAATCTTAATTTACCTTCCAAGTGAGCTGAAATACTTCATAGTCTATTTGTCAAGTTGATAAACAACCACGTTAAGTAGCTGAAGGGGTTGGGAGGATTTCCTACAATAGCTGATAAATACCCCCACCGTCCGGTCCCACCAACACAACAAAGGGTTTAATTACCTCCTTCAGGTGTGGCCTGTACAAAAGCCAATGAATCGGACTTAAAATAAATTTCAGATTTTACTCGTAACCTTACATTAGCCTAGATGATTGATGATGCTCCTCAATCCCCTGTGCTTAATGCACCGACGTGTGATGTTGGGAATGTGGAGTGAGTGAGTGAATGTTGTTTTATACATTCAACTATATTATAACAGCCTGTAACTAATTCAGTATGGACGAGGGCTCCGTTCCACAAAGTTACAATTGTCTTAGAGATAAGAACATGGTGTGGCACTGGGACCAGGAAAACAAGTGGGTAATAGTATCAATGAATTTCCAAGGGGAGTCAAGCATGTGGTACTGGGGACCTATTCTGCCCAAATCACCACAGGGAGACAAGCACAGGGCACTGGGGACCTATTCTGCCCAAATCACCACAGGGAGACAAGCATGAGGTACTGGGGACCTATTCTGCCCAAATCACCACAGGGAGACAAGCAGAGGGTACTGGGGACCTATTCTGCCTCATATCACCACAGGGAGACAAGCATGAGGTACTGGGGACCTATTCTGCCCATATCACCACAGGGAGACAAGCACAGGGTACTGGGGACCTATTCTGCCCCAAATCACAAGAGGGAGACAAGTATGGGGTACTGGGGACCTATTCTTACCCCAAAGGACACTGTGATATCAATGAGTGATTTCCTAAGGTCTTTATCCTTCCATAATTTTCTGATTGTGTCATGGATGTTCAATAACTACTAAAGAAATGATGTGATTAACCCTTACAATACAGTTCAAAGATGGCTGACAACAAACTCGGTCCACTCCACTCAACGCACCACTGGATTACAAGCCAACTTTCAAAGGGAGTCAATCTTAAACCAAGCATGAGATGATAAATACATATTTACAACTGAATAATCATGATAGATCACACGTGGAAACATGTTTACTTTAACTATCGGGTGCGTTGTCAGACAGGAGAGATAATCGCCGGTCTCCACAATACAAATGTCTGTAGGTCCCTGCTGATAGTAATGTTAAATGTAGCTGTGATAGTACACTATCACCAAAACTGATCCGATGATGTCGCCACTTCAGGTGACATGGCATCGTGTATGATATGATTAGGATCTTCATGGAGACTAACTGGTCACGATTGACAGCCGTACTTTTCCTTATCATGGGGAAATGCATTAGAGAGGTGAAAGGTGTTTAACTAAGTGATCTAAATGACATCCTGCATTTCTATTTAGGCTTGTGCTGGCTATTTAACAGCAATAAAAACATCAATGCCGAATTAATAAATTCTCACACACTGATGGCTTTAATGACAATGAAAATATCTATTTTATTTACATGAAACTATATCTAAGGTTTTTATATATATTATATTTCATCTCAAGATTTCGATATGGGATATGACACTGATTTTCAACACAACTCAAATTCACTTTATTACAGCTTGAGATCATACAATGATAAACGAAGCATACAATACATACAAATTTACATTGAGGATGGCACACACGGACAAACAGACGGAGGTGGGTACATAAGAGTCGGCTTAATGAACAGCAATGTTTTCCAAACAATAATATTATTTCCTGATTTTAAAAAAAATAAGCAATTATTTGTTATAACATTTGTACTTCTAATTCATTATTAATGTTCACGATAACATGCAACTCAACATCAGGTCTTACTATATACTTAGCATGGATATGTCCAAGCACCTTCCCTTCTCAATTGGGATTTTGAATTACATGTTCTAAACATTACAAATGGTATAAATAGGTGAGGTGGGAGATAAGTCCATAGTCTTCAAGCCTACAGGTGTATATATGTTACACCCAATCTGTGCTACTGCCCATTTCGTGCATTGGGCAATAGTTGTGAATGAAAAATACCGGTAATTCTCCAAATATTCCACAATATGGGCAACCTGCTTGCTCATTTCATGCAATGGTCAGTTGCACAGATTGGGTGTAACATATATACAGTGATAATTGATGACTGTTATAGATGATCAGCGGTTTAACGAAGGTCGAGTCGTAGGTGGTAGATGACCAACAAAACAGTTTACATGCTCTGCCTACCTAACACAATCTATGTTGCATGTTTCAGAGTTTAAAAAAAGATTAGAACAGAAGTTGTTTATGATTCATAGTGTAAAAAAAGATTTATCGAGTATTAATATGCACTTTAAAAAAAAACACATTGTATCCCTTCAGCGAATTCAGTAACCAACTTGGTCAATAAAAGTTTGAAATTTGATATAAAACATCACTTGACATGATGATTTACCATTTATGTACACCATAAATACAAATTTAAATTGATGATTTGAAAACTATGAAATGGATGTCTCAAGACATAAGGTACACATGATAGACATTGCACCAAGTTGTCATAAATCTCCACTGACAATTACAGAGTAAAAACAAGGTCACCTTTGAAGATAACATATTCATACTGATTGATTATTTATTAGAAAAATTAAAAAAACCATGGGCCCAAAAATCACCAAGTGCAATAAAAGAAAATCTACCTTCCATTTAACGTGTTCAAGTCAAGGTATTCATGTATAATTGCTTATCATACAATTTTAATAAGGAAAGAAGCAAATGGTGTTTGCACAGCTTGAATCCTATTGCTGGAACATCCAATTTGCCATCGCAGCCGTCAACTGGTATGCTGTCTTTTGTGAAAAGATACAAAAGAACAAAGTCTTTGAGCATGTGCCATTTCAAAATAGAAGTATGGATATTTGTGAAGAATCTTGTTCTGCCATATCCCAGTTGTTTGTCATATCTTTGAAACATATGATGTTTTTTCAGGATGAAGTTACATTGCCGGAAATAGTTTTACTACTCTCGGATCAGTGGATACGAAAAACAAGGAACTCCTAAAAGCAGTCTCAATGAGAAAACCAACTTCCAGTGCTATTTTTATTCAAGCCTTAGAACCTTTGAAGTCATTTTGTTGTTGCGGGATGAAGAAAATAATTGACTCACAGGGAGGCTTGAGAATCGTCATGGTAACATCAAAAGAAGACGACTATGCTGATCATGTTTAGATTGTGTTATCTAAACAGTGGTCAAAATGTACCAAATGGTATGCCAGATCAAAGATTCTAATTAAACATAATCTTGTATTCAACTACTTAAGACAACTTTAAGACAGAAACTGAGTGAGCGAGTTTCATTTAATGTGCCTTTGAACTGTATTCCAGTTATATCACTGCCTGTCAGTTTAATGTGGGAGGAAAGCCCGAAGTGATGCAGGTCTTAGACGTTTACCACTTTGAGGAAACCAACAAGTATGGGTGTGGTGCTGACAAACCTAGAAACATAATCAGGGCACACTTGGATTTGAACCACGATCATTGGTTTCTGGACACAACTCTGCCTTGTTAATTACAGCACCTCAGATGATTGGGCCGCCCACGCCGGATACAGAAACTGTACCACAGGCTAAACATGCCTGTCATTGATGTTTTCAGTTCACGTACATGATTAAGTGTTACTACAACAGTTTTCCGCTTAACGTCTTGTCATTTTGTGACAGCCCTCATAAACTTCCTGACACTTCAGATAACTCACTCTGTTATATGGTCCCATTATCCACAGGACCATGCAACTAGTATTCTATGCCGACAGAGTCTGAGAGTTGGTTACTATATACATGTGCATTTTCAAATCTTTCACTGGTTTTTCTGTAAATGAATTTCGGGCACAGACTCATTACATAACATGGAAGTCAACAACTTCATCAAGTCGCCTGCTCCAAACAGTCAATTACACTTTGTAGATACACTCTGATACATATCAAAGTGTCGTTGATACGATATTACCCTAAAACTGATATTAGAGCAAATACTTTAAATATTTGAATCACTAATTCTCCAGTTCAATTTTTATAAAAGTGGACATGAAAAATGAATTTTGCTTCTCTATTCTGCAAATATGTATAAAAAGATTTATTTGCAACTCTAACAAACAGATTAATAAAGGGACGAGAAGTCTGAATCTGTTTTCATTACTAGCTGTGAGGTAAATATAATGATAATCTATTTGTAAGCTGCTACTTTGATGTTCAATTTCTTTTTGTTCTTGCTGCCAAATTTAGAAATCTGGGATCCAAGTATTAAAGATATATGTTAGTATTTGTTTTTATATATTTTGATGTGTTAACATGTTTCAGCACAAATTGCATTAAAAAATGTATGATATTGCAATACATGGAATATCATATTGTTCTGCAGCCCGTCCATAGTGCTTGTAGCTTTGTTCTATAAAAATCATATATATTTAAATATGTAGATGGTTATTCCTAATTTTCAAGGTTATTGATATAACATTCAAGTAGGTCAACGTATAGATACTTGCTTGTAATTTTGTATTTCATCACCTGATATCACTGAAGTCACAACACACTAATTACAGGTGAGTTTCTGTTACAATTCAGGTAGACTGGACAAATGAAAAAAATGCCTGAGTGTCAATTAAATGTTGACTATATCTCACAATGTTCCAGTATATCAAATGTACAAATCTAATTACTGACAGTATACCACACCTGACACAGGTAAATTGTAAAGCAGGTAAAATATACCTTTCACAACCTGTGCCCTTGCAACACAGCTCAAGGTACATCAGATTCAACCTTAAATCACTATCACCTGTATATTAGCACAGGTAAATTCATAAATCTTATCATCACATAAACCTACTCCAGGTATAACTATAACAATCACATTTCACCCCTAACTCACAGGTATATGTTAAAAATAAACTCCTACCTTGTCTAGACAGTCCATTGCATTATAGATTGACCTGTCAAGGTGAGACCAAGTGTAAAGATGTATCACCTGACAAAGCTCGTTCTCTCAGGTAAAACACAGGTAATCCTCCTCCTTAAAACACCTAATAGCCTTGAGTGAATACTCTATGGGCCACCTCAGTTATCTACCCTGTATATATGCCTATACTATTATGTAAGAGTGCTGATACAGCCGGCCTAGTGTGCTGTGTTTACTTTATTTAAGGCACTTGTTGTGTCAGCGTCAGAAGATCAGTGAGGCCAACAGGTATGACATAATAGGGAGTGATTGGTTTGAGAGAGGAACCGCACTCGTTTAAGTCACTTAAATTGATGGAGCTGGTTAAGGGTTGATGTTATCAGTCTTTGAAGTAACACCAGCATCACTTTGAGCTTTCCTACTATCAGGCTGACATACTGTCATACAACTGATATAGTGTATAAAGTTAAACTCACTCACTCACTCACTCACTCACTGAATCTCCAATCAAAACACGGTATTTCATGTATATAAAGTTGTTTTAAATATATAAGTGAAGAGAACACTTGTAATCATGTCCATTTTTAAAAAAAAAAATTTAAACAAGAGAAGCTGTACCGGGTATATATCCTAAGCGAATTTAATATTTCAACTTTATGTGTAATTTTAAGTTTTGAGAAAACTTGAACACATCTTACTTTAATGCTGCATGATATTAAAGAACGCTTGTCAGAGTGTGTGGTGTTAAAAATCATTGTCTTATTAAGAACGAACCCTTTAACATGCTGGTAAATGATGACAGACCATTCATCTATATACAGTAATTCACATGAACAGATCTGTACTCAATCTACCTGTGCATGAAAGTCAGTGAAAATGGTAAGCATGGCAATGAAAAAATCAAAACATAAACACTATACCATCACAAGCACCAAAGTTTCCAACGTAGACCGTTGTTGACAAAGTCACAGTATACATCCACCAACCACCTTCAGAAACAAGGCTCAGGTAGAACCATCACATCCCTCTCAACATCAGCTAGTGCCCCGAGTCTATCGCTTCACACAACCATGTAGCACGACTGACGTCTACCTCTCTCTCTCTCAATCTGTGATCGCTCGCTATCTCCCCACGTGTGATTGTGTGGTCACTGCAGCGCGACCTGACAACCGCTATCACGACTCCCCCCATCCCCCACCGCCTCAAACACAGGAATAACGGTTTGTTTGTCGTTGTGAACGTGGATATTAACCTGATGAACACACACAAGCTTTGTCAGCCTCTGCCACCTTACTCGCAGCCATCTTTGCAAAACAAACATTTCAATCCCTGTCGTCTGCCGGTCATTTGAATGCCAAATCTTGTCAAAGGCTTGAGTCCTTTCTGTCGGTTTAATCTCATAGGAATCTTCAAATATTGAATATTTTTGAACAGCTTATGGTTATGGTCTCGTGTGTACAGTGGTGTTGAAGTGGCGGAGTGAGGAGCTCTGCTGCGGAGCCGAGAGTGTCGTGTCGGCCAGGGAGATGAAGAGTTACTTAAGTGTCCCATTGTACAGCTGTCATAGAGGATGTTGGTGGATGAGTGGTAAAATTAAGGATAAGTTATTTATTGGTTGATGAGTCGGATGCTGGCTTGGTTGGCAGGCAATTTAGTCTGTGGGATTGTGGAAAGGTGGATCACTGAGGATGTGGATGACTTGGTGGATTAGTGAGTCAGCGGGTTGATTGGTAATCGGGTGGATGACTCCAATAGTCAGTGAGTCAGCGGGTGGATTGGTAGTCGGGTGGATGACTCCTATTGTCAGAGATTTAGGGGGTGGATTGGTAGTCAGGTGGATGACTCCAATAGTCAGTGAGTTAGGGGGTGGATTGGTAATCGGGTGGATGACTCCAATAGTCAGTGAGTTAGTGGGTGGATTGGTAGTCGGGTGGAATATTTTTGAACAGCTTATGGTTATGGTCCTGTGTGTACAGTGGTGTTGAAGTGGCCGAGTGAGGAGCTCTGCTGTGGAGCCGAGAGTGTCGTGTCGGCCAGGGAGATGAAGAGTTACTTAAGTGTCCCATTGTACAGCTGTCATAGAGGATGTTGGTGGATGAGTGGTAAAATTAAGGATAAGTTATTTATTGGTTGATGAGTCGGATGCTGGCTTGGTTGGCAGGCAATTTAGTCTGTGGGATTGTGGAAAGGTGGATCACTGAGGATGTGGATGACCTATTGGATTAGTGAGTCAGTGGGTTGATTGGTAATCGGGTGGATGACTCCAATAGTCAGTGAGTCAGCGGGTGGATTGGTAATCGGGTGGATGACTCCAATAGTCAGTGAGTCAGCGGGTTGATTGGTAATCGGGTGGATGACTCCAATAGTCAGTGAGTCAGCGGGTTGATTGGTAATCGGGTGGATGACTCAAATAGTCAGTGAGTCAGCGGGTTGATTGGTAATCGGGTGGATGACTCCAATAGTCAGTGAGTTTGGGGGTGTGGATTGGTAGTCGGGTGGATGACTCCAATAGAAAGTGAGTTTAGGGTGTGGATTGGTAGTCGGGTGGATGACTCCAATAGAAAGTGAGTTTAGGGTGTGGATTAGATGACTCCAATAGAAAGTGAGTTAGGGGGTGGATTGGTAGTCGGGTGGATGACTCCAATAGTTAGTGAGTTAGGGTGTGGATTGGTAGTCAGATGGATGACTCCAATAGAAAGTGAGTTTGGGGGTGGATTGGTAGTCGGGTGGATGACTCCAATAGAAAGTGAGTTTAGGGTGTGGATTGGTAGTCGGGTGGATGACTCCAATAGAAAGTGAGTTTGGGGGTGGATTGGTAGTCGGGTGGATGACTCCAATAGTTAGTGAGTTTAGGGTGTGGATTGGTAGTCAGGTGGATGACTCCAATAGAAAGTGAGTTAGGGGGTGGATTGGTAGTCGGGTGGATGACTCCAATAGTTAGTGAGTTAGGGTGTGGATTGGTAGTCAGATGGATGACTCCAATAGTTAGTGAGTTAGGGTGTGGATTGGTAGTCGGACGGATGACTCCAATAGTCAGTGAGTTAGGGGGTGGATTGGTAGTTGGATGGATGACTCCTATTGTCAGTGACTTAGCAGTTGGATTGCGTCGGGTGGATCAGAGCGTCGCTTACCAGATCATGAAAGTGACAGACGGAATGTGTTTTCTAATCATGCAACCTCGGAAAATTTAAAAGAGGGTATTCCGAACGACAGTTATGGGTTTAATGATTATATCCATACAATCTAGGAAATCTATAAGCCATTCCTGAATGTTCTTTTCATCAGTTTTATTTTTTTTAATCGAAAAAAGGTCAAAATATGTTTCGAAGCATAGTCGCCATTTTGAAACTTGTGTCATAAAGCTCGTGAAAGCTGCCTTCTGATTGGCTAATATCGATTTCTTGTCAGTCATTTCATTGGTCGGTCAAAGTATGCGAAAGGTCGTTCTGACGTGACCCGAAATGTGATGTCCTCAGATCTTTGTTTAGCGGTAGCGAAAACTAAGATCTGATTTTAATGAGATTGATACAGGGTCACTGTGACAGGTCAAGTTGAACTTGAGTATGCCATTATCACTGTCACAACACAACCAACACAAACAGTCCACACTGTTTTTGCCATCTCTTGCTGACAAGCATCTGAGACAAACTAAACACTTATGTCACCAGGAAATAGGGGCCTCACAAAGTCATACAAGAATAAAAAGTTTTAATATAATCAGGAAATCCATCATTTGAACCTAACAGCATCATGGCTGAATAACTGACTTACCCATAAGTTATTTTAATCATATCAAAATCACACTGTTATGTACACAACATGTTAATTAAAAGAAGTTTATAATTGTCTGTTTAAGCCTAAGACAAAGAATCTCTCAAATGGTTGTATTTACCCATGGCTTTAAAAATTAACACAAAGACAGCATATTGACTTTGTTAACATGATCGCAAACAAAATCCTGGCATTTGGGGTTTTGTACTTTTCCAAGGAAGCTGACCCCGATGAGGCCACCCAGAGCACACTGGAGCAGGGCATCTGTGTGTGAGTGAGTGAATTACGAGATAAACCTTCTGTTTTCAATTTAGAGGTTTCAAATGTAGATTTGTTAACCTGAAAAATAAATTTGAATACCCCAAAGTGTGAAGTTTCAAATTAATTTATTAATTTTTTTTTAAATTGAAGTTGAAACCTCTACATTGCAAAGAAAGTTGGTTCATCTCTATTCAGCCTTGACACGATGACAAAACAAACACACACTCTTTAGTTATAGCAGAAATAATCAGTGATGAGTCTTAAACATCTTTCTAAGGTCCATAACATCTTTCTGTATGATAGTATTACAGAGGTTTATTTGTTGTTTAATGCCGCACTCAGCAATATATATATATATATAATGGTTGTTAGTCAATAAGCGAGTCTGGACCAGACAAACCAGTGATTGACATCATGAGCGTCGATCTACGCAATTGTGATATGATGACATGCATCAACCAAGCCTGACCACCCGATCCCGTTAGTTGCCTCTTATGGCAAGCATGGGTTGCTGATGACCTATTCTACCCCTGGATATTCATGGGTTTAATACCTAGGTCATCTTGGACATGTGGAGAAATGTTAATATATTTCTAATGGCCATGTAATTGAAACATAACCATACGTTCACCTGAGTTAGTAAAGCGATGAATGGAGGTCTATTTGTTTTGTCAGTGCAACCCAGAAGTCAAGTCTTTTACTCCAAAAGCATAAACATAACCCATCAAAGCAAACTGCTTTCACTGAATGCTTATCTTTAAAGAACCAAAAATATCCTTTTTCACCCATAGCATATAAATATTCATTCAAATATATATACAAGACATCACTTACCATTGACATAACTCTTTAGTTTGGTATCCTTGGCACTTAAAACTAACCTCCCCCACTTTAAAGTTGGGATGATAGAGCCAAAGTCCTGTATAATTTCAAATCCAAATTGACTCTCTCAATAACGTTTAGGAAAAATGTGAGGAATCTCATTCTCCGAAGACTCCCCTTTTTTATTCCTTCTAAAAATAGAATTTAGCATTCCATGTGCATCTAGAGGTGATAAGCATAAGTCAAAGTTAAGTGGAGGAACAGCGTTCAGTTTGAAGCGTTCCGCTGGCAGACAGGTGCCTTATGGGAGATGTTGTTACACAATCAGACGAGAAAGGCGAGAATTGTAACAAAACAGAATCACTGCACGTAGGAACCTGGGAGGAACCAAGGATATCATGTTCTCGTAACTGGGAAACTGATTTTTTTATATCTGTGATAACAAACATTAGAATGTAAGCGATTTAGAGTTGGTTGTGTAAAATACTCTCACTGTAAGATGCTTCATACAATTTTTGTGCCTTGATTATTTTGTTTTGAAATTTAAAAAATTTCAGAACAAAAAAATGAATGTAAAATATTCACCAATTTTATGAATATCAAACAGGTGCGGCCTTCGGTCTATCACAAAAACAAGTAAATAGTGTGCATCATATTCAGTTTATGTTTTATTTGGATAGACAAACACCAAAGTGTCAGAAATATCTCATTTGTACATAATTTCAATCTCTTGCCACGATATTTTGCCGGAATATTGCTAAAAGCCTCATAAAACCATACTCAATCAATCATAGTTTCAAATAAATAGTTTTTACATGAATAGTCATTAAAGGTGTATCTAAATCATATAGAAGCAATATCCATATCAATTATGTACAGTTGATGATTCCCAAGAAACAGTGAAGCCCATTTCTGGTGTCCCCCTGCCATGATATTGCTAAAATATTGCTAAAAACATTGTAAAACCATACTCACTCATCCACTCCATAGAAACATATTTCCACACACAAAATATCCTTTTATCATGCATATACTTCAAAATAACAGTTTAACTACATTGTAAGCATGCCCTAGGTCCTACAACCATCAAATATCCATTTATGACCAAAAAGAAAAATAATAAAACATAAAACATCAATTTTATGACAATTACCCTAAATATCACCAGGAAGTATCATCAAATCCCAGGCACTACCCTGCTACCCGTTATTAAGATCACAGCATCTATCCGGTATCTCCTATTCATCTTTGAAGTCTTACCTGTGCACTTAACGAGACAGGTACACTTGTTTGGACGTCATATGTACGCCCAGGTGTGTCAGGTGAATGTACCTGTGCATGCCTGGGGCAGTCATACAGTTTAATGGCTGTATATCTATGATCACAAACTGTAGAAAGAGGCAATGAACAGTTCTGGAAGATAAGTTGTTCAATCATATGCCTTTTTTTTTGTCAATACAGCTCTTATCACTGCCTAGGGGCGTTTTTTAATATTTTGCCATTCCATCAACATAAATGTAAATATTTTCACTATCATTTAAAATTAAATTAAAATTTTCATTTACCACTATATTTTCTATGATATTTTAATGTTCCACATGATAATATAATAATATAATACTTCATATTTCTTTAGTGAGGTCACGACA